TTGACATTGAAGTGTCTGTGTATGTCCTCTCGTGTTGGTATTTGTGACTTGTACGTCTAAGTAAAATGGCTTTATTTTGTGTAAACATGTTTAGCAGTAAAGGCTGAAAACGAACTAGTCTAGTTGTGTTAAATAAGCCTTAAATAACTCCCAGAGACTATCTCCTGTAGGCCAAAATACTCAATTAAAGGGTTTCATTTTGCTGCAGGGGGAAACACTAATGTTAACTTCTTTGAAAATCACATGTTTTATATTAATGCATTGTGATAAAACATGAATCCCCCAAAAAATCCCATCATACATGGTCAAATAAGTCCACTTCTATATTATAAACCGTGTGTCTCATGCTTTTTAAAAAAGAAAAGGAAAAATAACAACAAAATGAAAATATGTATAGAAACCAATTAAATATGATGCACTCTTTGTCCTACTAAAAATTGTGATATTGAAATGTTACATTGACATTAACACCCCTGTTACATAAAAAAAATCTGTTACATTAAATGTAAATGTTAGTAGGCTATATAAAGTAAATGTTCAATTATGTTATGATGATGTAATTTTTTGACCCAGTGTAGTAGGCTACTGATGGCGCCCTCACGTGGCTGGTATAAATAAAATAAACATCAACATAGGAAACCAGATCGGAACTGAAAGTTGATGTTGAAATCTCAAAGCAGTTTTGATTATATTTCTTAAGATTGACTGTCTTGTTGCCAATCATTTAGAGACACTGTCTTTCTTCCTGTGCATTGTTTGTATTTTCCATTGTATATAAAAGGGTTTATGTGGAATGCTGTCCCAGCTATATATTGTGTATACAATATATATTGTGTGTTCACTAAACTTCATAAGCAAAGAGAAAAAACTCTCTATATAGAGTTATATATTTGGATCCTGCAACAAGACGGGAATACAATGTGCTATTGTACAATTCACTGCTTTATAATTGTCTATTTATTTACTCATCCAGTCACTGCACAATAATAACTGTATATACTCTGTCACTGCACTATAACTTCACTTATTTGCACTATATCTCTATATTTATATTTGTTTACCTAATCAGTCACTGCAAAATAATAACTATATATTCTTTCAGTCACCACAACTGTCTATGTATTTATCATTATTATCATTCATTCACTGAACAGCAATTTCCCTGGCCACTTTTTGCATATTTCTCTTTCATATCACCACAAATATATTTTTGTTGTTGTTGTTTTTGTAAACGCTGCTGTTTAGGATTGCTGCTAACAAAGTTTTGTTGTGTCCTTGTATACAATGATAATAAAGATTCTATCTATCTATCTATAACGTTAAAAGAAAATAAAATTAGCTCGCAATTTAATGCAACACCAAGGCCATGTATATTTTTTATGGAAGGAAGTAGGTTAGAGATCTGGAAGTGTTATTGTAAGCTTTTCATGGGATATGTTCAGACTGCTCTAAACATTGAAGCACCTGTAGAGGGCAGTGTAGATGAATTAATAACAGGACCTTGCTCTTAAAGGTAGATATTGTGTGCAAGCTATGTCTAAGCGTAAGCTCTTAAAACCTTTTAAATGTCTTTGAGCATTTGCCTGGCTTTTTTATTTGTCAAAGAACCCTCTGTTGTGTTATGTTTGCACTTGTAGTGACTTATATAAGATGGTTACACCACCTTAAATTAATTATGAAATACTTTAATTTCAGGCTGAGTGCAGAAACAATGAATAATATAACCATGCATGTAAAACCATCAGACTGCATCGTCTCCTTATCACTTATGCAATGATTTTGGTTTGTTAAAGCTGAGAGCAAAAAGAAAATAGAGGACCTGACTTACACTCTTTTTAAAGAGGTAGGGTACGTGAAGGGAGCAGATGGGTCAATTGGATTTGCATAATCTTTGGCAGGATCAGCCTCAAATAAAAATACAATACAATGAAAGTCTTTTAGTTTAGGATCTGTGTTTTTTCTCTCAAATGTTGTTTTTTGGGAAATTGTATAACCCTTGAAAGTAAAACACCTTAAAACATTGTATTTGCTTATAAACTTGCTATGGTGTTATATTTTTACTCTAGATTTCTCAGGCTATTCAGAATATGTATGGCTTCTCTTACACTTTGTGCAACGTCGCCTGCTGCACAGGTGCATGATGATCAGTTCACCTGACAAGGCTCTGTACCACTTGGATCTTCTTATATTTATGAATTATTTAAATGCCTTTAAATTCTACTTGCCACTTAATATGTCTCAATTTCCTGTAAAGTTTTTAGTGTATAGTTAAGATTTTATGTGTATAGTTTACTTAATTCTTGCTAATAATAGCTGTAAATACATAGTGCCTTTATCTTTATTTTAATTTTATTCCTATATATTCTTATTTTATTTGTACTCATATGCATGTTCTTCTTCTGTCCCCACTGTTATTCTTCTGTCCCCACTGAGGATCAATAAAGGATTATCTTATCTTATAACATATTGCTTTTAAAGAAGGGTACAAGACAATGTAATGTGATGATACAGAGCAACTGGGAAAAACACATCAGTTTATATAAAATGAACAATCTGTTAAAAATTCAGTTTTGTATGTAACTGCACTGCCTTTTTAAGTAGCAGTAACTGCTGCTAATATGATCTATTTTAAATGCATCTTGCTGCTAAAAGGGTCACACAGCTGGTCGCTTTGTGCATTACATACAGCCTACTTTGTATCACTGACTATTAAAGGACATAATACATCACATAAGCAATGAAAAGAAGCCAATTTCACAAGCCACATTCCAATAACAGAATAAACAGCAGGTGGCGCCTCTACTCTCCAGCAAGTTTGGCATTTGAACTTGACTGAAGAAGAGTTCAGCCAGATGACATGAGTAAGCAGAAGTCAAACCTCCAACAGTGAAAAGTCACAATGTAGGAGACAAGTTGAAAATGTTTATATGTCATTTTGTGAGGGAGGTAATTGTCTCCTCAGATGTGTTTATTTTGGATTTTTTTTTGCATGCTTCTGTGATGTATAGAATTTCCAATGAGCATAAAACTGGATGAGAGCAAGACAGCCCAGCTGATGGAATACTTAAGATGAGATAGTCAATGTGTTACACAAAGCAGGTTACAGGCTAATTAAATAATGTGGCTCCATGTTGCAGGCTACAGTACATGCAGCTTCATGACATGTTTTTTGAGAAGCTACATGCAAAAACATCATATAGGTTAATGAGATAGCCTGGGCACGCCATACAGTCTATGGGGCACACAAGATGAGTAAAGGTAGTTAGTGGGCATAGCCATACACAGTATAAACAAATGGACAGTGTGCCAAAGTCTCTTCTCTGGAATATCCCCATGAAGGGCACTGACATATTGAGAATTTTCAACCAGTCTGCGCATGTAGGGGTCAGCTGGATGTCCACTCAAAGTTGTGGGGGAATGTCCCGTGGAGGAAAATAATCCCTTTCTGCCAGCCAGCAATAAAGCCAGGGCACAGATTTAAGAGCTCTGATGCTAATGCTAACAAGCTGTCATGTTCTTCATTAAGTCATTAATGTCAATTGACAAATAAATATATAGAAATAAACTGAACCGTATAGGATCAGATTGTTGTCCATACTTCTGAAAAGACTGGAAGAATGATCCAAATAAAGTGTTATTCCCCGATATCTTTAGCAACCTGGTCGAATCACCTGGTAAGAGACAAAATCACATTTTCTAAAATAAACCTAATGTCAGTAGCCTTCCTGACAGCCATTACCACTAAATTCAATAGCAGGTTTAGGTTCATTCCACCTGCTTATTTTTATCTAGTTGTATTTTCATTAACTGTTGTCAGATTTGTTGTGAGGAAAGCTACTCAGTCTGCAAAATGTGGTATGTAGTTCACTTATTAATCCAACATTCATGGTCCTCCTGAAACAATCTTACACTGATAAGGTGAACATAACGTTAAAGTTGAATGTACTGAAGTGCTGCATGCAGACATGTTTGGATTATGGATACCACACGCGACCAAACTTGTCCTCCTGCTGGATGGCCTGCAGCCACAGTCTTCTCCTACTCGACTCTGTTCTTCTGTTGGCTAAAACACAAAACTTAGATTTTCAGTTTATTTGAAGTTCAGTCCAGAGCATGGTGATCATGTTGGTTTGAAGCAGTTGCTCACAAAGTAATGACTCTTGTGTTGGTGTCCAATACATTTTTCTCACTCCATTGCTGCTGCACTATGCCAATTGCTGCACTCAGTGCAGCAGGAACCACATTTGTCTGAGTTGTACATCACACCATTTTATTTCATCAAATAACTAATTAGAAAGTAATTTCTCAGGCAAAAAGATGATGACATGGCCTCTCTGTTAACATAGAGCTCTAAATCTTTTGGCTTCACTCCCTGGCGACTGTTGCTCGTCCATCTTGATAAACAGTCTAAGTGCATAGCTATCAGCAACAGGCTTACAAGATAACATGCATTTTTTTAACCCATTGCAATGCCTCTTGTTTAACAGAAGCAATTCAATAGCAATGGTTCAAGTACAGGATAGTTACTTACGTAATGTATAAACATACCTGCTCCATCATTTTCTGTTTAGTCTACTCACACTCTCTTTGTGGTATCAAAGCCATAGAGTAGGCTAGACTGTAAATATTGGCTAAAAACGCTCTCTCTCGTTTTCAACAGTGGATGTGTCAATCCAATGGAGAGTGAAAAATAGAGCATTGCAAATTGCATGATAAACATGAAAACGTATGCTCATACTATAGATGGATAGATTTTTGTTTAATTAATATTTTCATTTGACTGGCAATTAATTCCCTGGTTTATTGTGCAAACATCTTTATGTGGTTCTAAATGAAGGCCTACTGTAAAATCGGATTGTTAAAGATTAAATTGAGTCTTGTAGTTCTATGTTAGTTTTTATCATATACGATATTGTTATCATCACCGCCCTCACGAACTGTCCTTCACACCAAAACATGCGCACCACGCAGCCATTGCCCCACGTGTCTCATGGCTCCTGCACAAAAACATCACGAGTGGTAGCTGCAGCTGTGGATGCTACAAATACAGCACATGGTAGCGTTTGGTAGCTGTTTGAAGAGACGGACGCCACCTGCCCCAAACTCCGAACTTGATTGAAACTTTCGTTACAAGTCAATTCTGTAAACTTTTACTTTATTAGCAGTAATTCGTGGGACAACTTCAGCGTCATTTGTCCCTATTCTGAACTGTGAGTGAGTGTTGAGGTGTCTTTGAGGACTTTCAAAAACTGTTGTCCAGCAGCAGCAGAGAAGCCAGCATGTCGACAGGCGCTAAAGAAGTTAAAAGCTGCCCCATCCCGACCAGGGTCCTGACCCTGAAGGACTGGTCCCAGTTACCCGACTGTTATAGCCAGACACCCGGGGGAACCCTCTTCTCCACCACGCCTGGAGGTAAGAACTTCAGACTCACTGTTTCTTCATAGTTTTAGCATTTTATTTTTACTTGAGTGAACTTGTGTTTCCTCAAAGATATTGCCACCAAAGAACTCAGCAGAAAGAGTTAGCTAACTTCAGTAGCACAACTGTTTTTACATGCGAGCAAACTCCAGGCTGCCGAGCGAACACTCAGAGACTTCAGATAAGCTCTCGCGAGATGTTGCAAACAATACAAAACAAACTTGCATACACAGCTTATTAGTATAGGGTTAAAATAGTATTAAGGTAGTTACTGTTAGCAAAACACTGCGACCACATTACATTGTAAGCAATTTGAGTTAAAAATCGGATCAATCTGGAAAGTTGCCTTGTTGCTCACGCTCTGCACGGCGACAGTTGACTGACCCTCACCCCACCCTTCCCTTATTATCAACAAGTTTGTTGACATGATACAATAGACTCAAATGCGAATTAAAGTTATTACCGTGAAATAAAAAAGTGCTGAAACACCATAAGTAAAGTATTTATTATTCATTTGAATATTAATACGTTTGAAATTAGATTCAGATAAACAGTATATAAACAATACACATTTTTATTCCTCATATCGGGACAGTTTAATCATGTTTTGTTTTGTTTCGCACAACACACCTATGAAGAGTGGCAAACATGAAAATAAAAACACTTCTCACTTGTCTGAGCACACAGCCACTGTCACTCGTGTCTGTATCAAAAACACTGACATCTAAAGACAACAACTGATTTGAAAAGGGTGTACGAGTCCTCCGCAGAGTGATTGGCCTCTGCTGCGGTGGTGGTGGAGGAGTTGGAGGCTGTCCTGTACCCGTTGCTCTCTGCTTTGCATTTCAGTAACAGTAGGGAACATTCTGTACGAGCTATTAGAAGGAGGAGGGAGAGGAAACGTCTGATGCAAGGAGAGCACGAGCAGTCGTATTTCTTTAAATTAGCCTGCTCTGGCAAACAAGAGATATAGGAAGTTGCAACACAGTTTTGTCTTGTAATCTGCTCGGTTTGCACTGCAGCACATTTAGCTCTTCTTTGCTCACTCAATGCATAACTAACCATGACCCCCTTCTTTATGTAACTGCCCTGCTCTCTAATGCTGCCCTGCTATGCATTTCTTGCACTACAGCTTGCATTCCAAACCTTTCCTCGCCCTGACTCTCTCTCTCTCTCTGCAGAACTCCTTTGTCCAGGGCTAACGGCTCACCTCTCACTTCTTGCATAACATATTTTCCTTGCAGAACGGGTGAGCAGATACTGTACATAACAGTTCAAACTCCAATATAGAGGCACAGAGCAATCCTAGGTTCAGGCATGTCCTGGTCAAACTTAGGACAACACAATATTTATGACACTGTTTTTGTTAGGACTTGGCCTATGTCCAAATGGTGACAAACATGTCAAATCCATTTGAGATGTGGCCAGTTGTTGAATATCTGTGGAACTCTATGCTTAAACCTTGTTTGAACTTCCATCCCGAATACATACTCTTAAATCTGTTCATCTGCAGTCAACATTAAACTTCTTACTCTGTCAAAGAACAACACATGTGGCTTTAATCTCAGGGCCCCACACTTCAAAGAGAGAATGGCTTGTACTCTGTTTTCCAAGAACTTGCTGCAGAGGCAGCCAGCCAGCGTCCCTCCCATCTGTGCAGACACAGAACCTCCCTCTTCCCACTCAAATTACCTCCTATAGAGGATAATAATAACTCGATCCCCAGTCGTGCACCTTTCCAAGAATCCAGTTTGCTTCAGGGATAAAACTGCTATAGTTTAATGTTAGGATATTCCAGCATTTGGTATGTAATGTTTGTTTTCAGAGCATTCATTTTTCCTTTTTTTTCAGGGTTTGAGATTTAAGTTTGTGTACGTCAAGTCAAACACTTGATTTTCTTTCTAATTGCCCCCTCTTACACTCAGGTACACGCATCATCTACGACAGGAAGTTTTTGTTGGATTGTCGAAACTCCCCTCTCGCCCGTACCCCCCCATGCTGTCTGCCCCAGATCCCAGGGGTAACGGTTCCTGCTACGCACCCTATGGGGAAACTGCAGGATCTAAAGGAAGAGGCAGAAGAGGACGAGAAGGATATTGCAGGTAAACATACCACTGTATAATTCCTGTTTGCTTGACGAGCAAGAGTGGCGCAACTTTAATAAGTAAACACACTTTCCCAGGCTCACTTGTGCAAACATGTACAGCCATTTACACCATATCATGCCATGTCTATGCATCTCATTTCTGAAGCTCATTGTCATTTAATCAATCCGAAATGCGCCCCGATATTGAACAATTTGTCTGCATTCCCGTTAATAGAACAGCACAATCAGTGTCCCTCTTCATATATTCTCTTCCAGCTAAATGAAGACTTCATTTCATGTTTTTTTTTCAGCACATAATAATACAACAGATATGTACAGCATGTGTCATGTCTACTGAAACATGAGCCCTCAGTCATATCCAACATGTCAAAGTCCTCTTTCAGAGGCAGAGCCAGGAGGTTAAAACTAGACCAGTATCTTATAACTGAACAATCACTATAATATTTCATATTGTATACGACAGTCCAGCTCTTAGTTAGGGGTTTAGACAGATATGAACATATGTTATGCAAATATCCTGCTATACTGCATACTCCTCTCATCAGAGGATTAAATCACTTGTAGGTGTTAAGACTTAATTTTGATGATAATTCTCTTGTGAGGCTTCAAACGGTGGTCTCACTCAAGATCAGTATCAGTAAACATACAGATCATGTCGTAGGGTATGGATTTGGTAGCAGCCCCCCTTTTAGTCAAGTGTTTGTTTAGTGTTTTCCCTTCCAGTTATAAACACATGACAAGGTCTGTACTCTGTCATCTGCACTGCAGACAGTTAAGGTGTGGTTGTGCTCGAGGTGCAAACACACACATGATAACACCAGCTGATTGTTAAATATCTCCTCTCTTAATCTTTAACTGTGTCTCCTGTCTCTCTCCAACAGATGACAACCAGTTTGAGATGGACATCTGAGCCTCCAGTATTACCTCCTATGGAGAGTTATTAGTTAAAACAACCCGAAGGTCGTTAATGACTGTAATGCATTGCATATAAAGCTTTTTTTCATCTTTTTTTAATAAAAGATTTTGTGAGGAACCAAAAAGAAGGAGGCAACTGTAGGGTGTTTTGGACCCTAGTAAAGCACAGAAAGGTGTTTGGATTGGTTGCTCACTCATTTGGGAGCTACAGCAGGATTGAAAAAAATCTGTTTTGATTTACATTTTTTTTATCTTTTGTAAATAAGGAAATAGTTCCATGTAGCCTATTTTTTAAGTTGGGGGTATATAAGATTATTACATTACAACATGTAGAGTAATCCACTGCAGGAATTAGTAGTGCTGTTGTCGCCCCCCCCCCCAGGGGGATGATTTACTTGTTTTGTTTCAGGCAACAAGTCTCTTTATATTTTGGGGGTGGTGGCGGGGGCAGGGCCTAATAACTCAGCACCTGCTCTGTTTTGAATAGAGGGAGAGAGGAAATGTGAATAATTTCAAATAAAGGCTGTTTGAACTGTCAACAAACCCACGTGTGATTATTTTCACATTCTACTTAGGTAATGTTTATGATGTAGTGTTTTTCTTTCATGATGTAAAGTGTAATAAACCATAAACATTATGTAATATTTCTTATCTCTTACAGCTGAGTGCTTTCAAAAGGAGGTTGATGTACTATTGCAACATTCAGTTAATGTCACATATCAACATTTGCAGTTCTACATTTTTTTGGGGGGGGGGGAATGCCCTCTTTATTCATTGACATACCTTAAAAGTTTTTTTTTTTTTTAACAATTTCCAGAAAATGTCAGAATTTCTGTCTCTTTTTGAAGTTAAAAAGTTTATGTTTCATGACATGACACTTGAGTCAGTATTTAAAAAGAGCATGCATAGATGTCCTTGTCTCCCTCAAAGAGATCCTGTTTAAAGCACTCTAAAAGCGTCTTGTGTAATGGAAAAACCTGTGTCCCTACATGTTGTGGAGTTAATGGCTTGCATAACCGCCTCATGTAAAGAGTGGTATGTTTCTTTTGTAAACACCCCCCTCGCACTGACAGACAGTTGGCCCATATGTGTCGAAGTGATTAGGCGGTGAAGCGGTTGCTTAAATGCTATTAGCATGAAGGTCAAACATATGCATACTTGTGTCACTAAAGATGGAATAATCAACGTTCTTAAGAATTTATCCAAGTCAAATCAAGAGGTTGACTCATCACAAACGTTGTCCTGATATATCTGAAAAGTGCACCATTAGCACATTGTGCTGAAGGCTGTCCTGACACATCTATACTGTTTATCCAAGCTCTCACACTATAAACGAGGTCAGGGTGAGGTATGCCTGCTTGTTCCAAATGCCAATCTGTAGATTAGAGACGTTGACTGTAGGAGCAGGTCTGGTTTAAGGGATGAGGACAACTGAAGCCTAAAGGACAAACCATTTGAACACTCCCTGCAATGTGGGGCGGGGTTGTCACACTTGCTGGTGCTGTATGAGGGAGTTATCTCAAATTGGTAAGAATGGATTAACAGAGCTATGCTGAGGCAGATGTGGTTTAGGTTTGTTTTAATCACTGATCACAGCTCAACTTATTGCTGAACTTCAGTGCAGAATTCAGGTGGAAACAGAAAAGCGGTGTCAATGCTTCATGTGTAAGTCTGTGATGTGGACCAGTCTACTCAGCTGTCTTATTCCCATGGCTTTGCAAATGTGACCTGAAACCAGCTTGCATTGCATTTCAGCTTACAAACTGTAATTTAGCCAACAGACTCTGATTTGTTGCATGTTTTTAATAAGGACTAAAAGCAGATTTGAGCATGCTCAGTATGATTTCTTCTAATAGTACACAAAGCAAACTTTGTCTGTACCAAAAGGTTACTGTGCCCTACACCACATTCTGGATTGGCTCTTGGCTCTTCTTTGTAAATGTGCAGTTTGACCTGCATGTACTGTTTGAACTAGTGTGTGTATGTTTGTGCTTGTTAGAACAGGGGCCAGGTGCCAGGTGATGATGAAAACTGCCACATGTACCTGCAATGTTGTTGTGAGGGGGATATCCTTTTTGGCAGAGAGAGGAGAAAAAAAACCTTGAATGCACTCGACCAACCTTACTGTCCTTGGGCAGACACACAAACAAGTTGTCTGCGGAAGAGACTGGTACGTGCAGCCATGTCATCTATAGACTTAGAAAACATTACTCAACATGTTGTCAACTATAAATGCCTTTACTTTCATCATAAGGCCTTCAGGCTTTTTAGGACAAATAAAAGAGATGATTCAATCTTATAGTACATAGTAAGGTAAAGGGATCGTTGACTGTACAGCTCAAAATAACTCTCACATGACTGAGATGTCAGATGGGAGGGGACGTATGCACATGTGACATTGTGATTACAGGTTTGAATCCTTTGGACAACATCACCAGAATTGTGACTGAAAAACAGCTGTCTTTATCCATCTGCAGGACAGCGTTGCTTGGCTGTAATTGTCATGAGATCTCATTTGTACCATGATCACCTCCTTCATCATTCACCTGAATGTCAGGTTGTGTTTACACCTGATTCCTTCACATAATTCATAACATAAAGAAATATGCATTTTTTTTTTAAAATTAATTATGAACTTGTAATTTAGTTTACATCACATCATTTCTGTAGCAGTGGGGCGGCTGTGGCACAGCAGTAAGGGTCGGTCGACTCTCAACTGGAAGGTTGGGGTTCGATCCCCCGCTCCTACAGTCACATGTCGAAGTCTCCTTGCGCAAGACACTGAACACAAAATAACTCCTGCTGCTGTGTCGGCCGTGTGTGAATGTGTATGGATGGAATTAGTTAATCTAAAGAACACTTTACGTAGCAGCCTCTGCCACCAACGGGTTAATGTAACATTTTACCGTTGGATCCTTTGGTCAGAGTGGGAGGTTTGTTCTATATGTTTATGTCACATAAATTACATAAGCTGGTCATTAACTTTGTGGACAAAGTATCATCACTAGTCTCTTGCAAAAAAAAAAAGGCTTCAGACATTTAGTGTTTTATTGGATATGAATTGAATATGTTCTACAAACCTCATATTACTACATTTCGATCATGGCAAATGATAAGTAGACACATTCCAGTGTGTTTCAGAAAACAAAGTACAGAGTGTTTATTTGGATCACTGAGATCATATGACAAAATGTGCAGCTTGCTCTGGTTAGAAGAAAATTAATCTTTGTGGTTTGATTGATTGGCATACATATATGAAATGTTGTTTTTATTGCCCCCCCCCCCAAAAAAAAAAAAAACAACCTCCAGTAGCATTGTAAACAACTTCTTCCCTGACAGAAATACTTCTTTTTTAACCTGGGCTTCCATGAACCCTGCGAAACTTGCTCCAAAAATCTCCCTTTTCATCCCCCTCTCCCTCCTTTACCCCCTGCTCCCCAAACCTCAGTATGAAGGTTGGGCTCTGTTGGGCTTGTAGCTGAGGCTCTATTTTTGTCGGCTGCTCTAGTTGAAGCTGTTGGTACATGCTCAGACTGAATTGCCGCGGTGACGATGTAAACAGACACTCAAACATGGGGCCCGCTTGGTGACATCGATCATAGCAGGGAGGGCACAGTGTGAAGTTTGAAACAAAGGACTAAGCAGTCCTTATAGTAGAGTCGTACAAGTAATCTTTAATAGTCAAATCTGTATTGTCCTTATACAACTAATAAAGATTGAATTCATTTAAAGTGAAAATGCAGATTACACTTTTGTGCAATACATTTTATTAAGCACATACTTCTGTATTCTTTTTGAATAATTTTCTAAGAAAAATCTGATATGCCCCAGAGAACAGTCACTGATCAGTCTTAGAACAGCAGCTGCCAGGCTATTGCAAAATATGTCACCAGTAATAGTATCTTTCTCCAACATCTTTTCCATTCATAACTTTGTACTGGTTGTATAAATAGCACCATGCATATACCAAAGGTCAAGTACATGTTTCTCTGGGGGTATCACCGGTCTACAACAGTGTCTGTTTCTCTAAGATACCTATTGTACTGAACTCACTCTGCAAGCCTTTTCCCGTGTTTTTACATGGTCTAGTTTCACCTTACAGAATGGAGACTATTTCATTTAGGGTCCACTGTCAATGGCAGCTGTCATACTGGCTGGCTGCTGGTATGCTTCATTATTCATACTGTATTTATGTCATGTCTGATGGAGGAACTGAGATGATGTTTCACAACTCTCTCGACCAACTATATCACCCCTAGTATAGGTGTGAAATGCACATGTGTGAATCCAGGACTTAAGTTTTGATTTGTGGTAATGAATTGAATTAGAATTAATTTATTTAATAGGGACAATTCAATTTAACATAGTTTCAATACATACATGAAACTGATGTGCTGCATAAAGAGTATATAACTATTGGTAATTTCCAACTTGTGTCCATAGTTGAGCCTTTGGGTACACAAACAGAGTAATAATATACTCTACATAAATATATAGTCTTCTTATGAAGAATATGCTGTGTATAAATATGTAAGTGTGTGCACATGTCCCTCACTAGAAAGTGTTGGTGGTCTTATCACTGCCCCTCTTTAGATGCACCCACTGACACTGAGTTAATGTGGGTCATGTGCAGAGTGGAACAGACCCAATGCTCTGTCCTTTAAAAGAGAAACTAAACACACTCATTTAGAAGTTTTGTCAACACAACATTTCACATGACACTGAAATGACATCATAGAGTCCTGCAGTCAGGCAAATAGCAATTGCTTCATGAATTCGAAGCTTTTTTGTATTGTAATATCATTCTGAACTTTCGATGTGTATTTGTTTATTAAATTAAATTTGTAGGGTACAGTCTTTAAAGTGTTTTAGGGATAAATAGTTCATTTCTAATGGAATAACTTAAATGCCCTTTAACTGATAAATGCATAATGGAGGGTCGTGTGTGCTCAGTGGCAAACAATGCTGATAAATTCATTTTTAGAATCAAAAATCATTCTGCTTAAGTAAATAAAAAAAAGTTTAGCGCCTGCTCAAATGAAAAAGGCAACAAAAGAAAAGACTGTGAGTAGTCTGACATCTGCTGGTAGAAAGCCAGCAATGCACCTAAACAAAACTTCTATTAAAAAAACGAATAAAAACATAACGGTGCAGCTAGGCCTAGAAATAGATTTGTTAAATTTAGGGCTAAGTAATCCATTAAAACAAATTTACATTTCAAAATTGATAACGTAAAAGTGAAAAATTGCAAATCCATTGTAGAAAGCACCTCGGTCACTAATCAATGATTAACATTACTCAGTCATCCTCCCTCCTCGTTTTTATGTCAGTAAGTCTAATTGGTGATGTAGTCTGGCCATAGAGTCTGCCGCTGTTTAATCATTTATTCAGTCAGTTGATGAGAAGTCTTTCCCTGACGTCCTTTTTCTTGTCGCTCTGGATTCTTATTGGCTGCTTCGAACAGCGTGGCTGTGTAGCAGCCAATCCCATACTTTGTTGCTGTCCGTGCATTTCCCTTTAAATGACGTCACGTCCCGAAACCGTTCCATACTGAATTTCATACGCAGTCAGACGAGAGGGTCGCTCACTGCGGTAAAATAAAATACTATTAATAAACACTCAAGCCGGGAGCAGTTTCTTTCTGAATTGCCGTAATTATTCTCTGCAGCATACCGGAATATTATTTACTACAAGGTAGGTGGTCCACACATCTCCATGATTCTTATTTTGTGTTTATGAGCCTAGTCATCATAAACTTAGGGGGGGCTAGAGAACTAGACAGTGCTATGGTGGGTTGTGGCCTGCAGGTTCATCTTCTTCACAACCTTTGTAAGTTACCTTGAGGAATTCACAAAAATAACCAACACATATAAACAGCCTACTGTAAGCTCCTAAAAATTAGGCTATAAATGGAAATATGGTATAAGCATATATCTAGGTTAATGCTAGAACGGGAATCAATATTTTCAATTCACATTGATTTTTTGGAACAAAGATGATGGTGACTGTACTGTAAATGATTGTTGTTGTTGTATCTGTTTGCCGTGTGTGTTTGTTTGAGATGGTTATGTTATAGATTCTTCTTAATTAGGTCCAGTGGGGTGTTTTAGTACACCCAGCCTCTTGGTCTTGTGATGTCTCCAGGCGTACAGAAAGTACAGAAAGTACACAAGTTGCCTGGTTTAACTCGTTTGGCTCACTCAAACTGTTTATGCTATATGGTCTCCTTAATATGAAGGTCTTTATGTGCCCACTAGGCCAACATAGAATTCGTCTTAAGACCTGCCATTTAGGCCAAATTGTTCAGGACAACACTAAGAGTTTGTCGAGTAACATTGTAAGTTAACATGGACAAATAGATTTCCTGTTTTTAACTTTGAATTTGAATTCATGCAAGTCCTCACATTATCCTGTCACATCATGGTGCTTGTAATTCACTGTTTATATTTTCACAACAGCTGATATAAGTAGCCCTGAATTCATTTTACAAATATGTATTTTAGATTTATTTGGTTCAGTATATTTGTTTTGCCGCTATCATAGTCTGAGGCATTTAGGTCATTAACTTCCACCTTCTAAGAGGCTTTTTCATTGTTAAATGTTTAATTCTGCCATTATAGTAACATTTTTGTAAATGAACTTAATGTGCCTCTTTACTCTGTTGTAAAAAGTATACAGTATATAGGTCCATTGGATTCAAATAGGTGTATTTCTAAACCTGTCTCCGGCGTCTGTTCTTGTGTGTCATGCTCATCAACATGAAGCTGTTGTGGAAACATTGTCTGAGCTCACTCATGTATATTCTTGCAGTCCAAACAGGGGAAAAACAAATGAAACACATGCAAATGAACATAGGCTCAAAACAAGCATACATGCTGTGCATACAAGTCAATGCCTTTAAATCACTTCTCATTATTTTTTAAAATCTGATTCTAAACGCTGTGTAGTTTTATACTGGTACAATAAGGGCGAGGTTACCTACAAGGTGAACTTTGACGCTGTAAACATGCCTATCAGTGTCCGATTGCAGATTATTTGTAAATCCCCTTTGAAAGGAGCTTTCTCAGCCTTTACCCAGTAATGCAACACTACACAGATGAGCTGGAACAAAAGAAGCCTCTGTGTTAACAAAGAGAAAGAGATCTTATGATTACCTTATTTTACTACTCACACTGCTTCAAGGTACAATATAAACAAGTCATCGGGGATCATTCTGGCTCTTCTGGTACATGGTAACCATAGTAACAGAGGCCTTGCCATCTGTCAGTAGCCTTAAGAACACATTCAGGTGGTGAATGTCCAGCCATCTTGTGATAAAAGCACGGCACTGAGAAGTGTTTTCCTGATGTTAAAAAAAGAAGGAGCCATTCTAAATCAAAGGTTAAAAGTGGTGGTTATACTCTGAACCCTGCCTCTTCCTGCCAAAGATAATTACATTTTATGAAGATATAACATCATAAACAAATATATCGGCGACCAGTTAGTGTCTGCTGATTGAACTAAGGCCTTTTGACACGTGTCAAGTAAACAGCCACTGCATTGCTTTATCACTGACAGGAGACTAGGTGTAGATGCAAAGGCTGAGTGCTGTTTAGATGTTTATAGTGTACATATTCAACATGACATCCTTGGAGGCCAAGCAGAGATGCGGTTTTCCATCTGGCCCCTTTTCATTTGTTATGGCTGTTCTGCCTGAGCAAATCCACTGATGAAGGCATGAGGGTTGAGTTGGACCTGGATCTACTCTGGTATACTGGTCTTGTCATGCACTTCCTTCTCATGAGAAGACTAATGGGAGAAATAAACTTCAGACTTTTAGCTGATCACAAACAGTTGATGCACTGACATTGTTAAGACACTCTCCGGAAGGGTAAAAGCATCAAAGGAGTGGTTCGTCTTTGCTTATCTTGAGCATGGGAGATTGATTCATAAGGCAACATGGACTACTTCTAAGGTCTTGAAGACAAAACATCATACTGAAACTAAAAAATGTGAGAATTTCACATGTCACTTGTCATGCTTCTGTTTCCAAGTAAAAGGTCAAACCAAGTGTGAAGTTACAACCAGTGAATGGCTGTTGTCTCTTCTCTTCTCTCCGTCTCCGTCTCTGTCCCATGTCTCAATTCATAAGCGTCAGCCTGCACACTGTGACCATGACTCCTCAATGTGTAACGTCTGTGTGTGAACAGTAAGAGAATGGTGCATACCTCTGGAAGGGTTTATGTGTGATGTGATTGACCAGTGACTCACAAGACACCCTTAACAAATTATGAAGTCTACAATGCCATGCCTGTGGTTATTATTTGGCAGCAGAGACTATAGTTGGTTGGTTTCCATATATGAGACTGCAAATCCATGAAAAAGCAGTGGATGTGTTAAGAAAAACGGGAAGACAACCTTCTGCTGTGTACTTCTCTTTTCTGTGAAACAGTTGTGTCAATTTCCTGCATGACTGCATGCTGTGTTCTATCAGGACTCTGAGGAATTCAGGGCCTCATGTGACTCTAGAGGCTGATTAACTCATACTCAATCAATTAGATTTTCTACATACAATACCCCGCATTGTACTGGAAAATGCCTTCACAGCTATAACGATGATGACTTAACTGTTGATTATGGATTGTTGGTTAACTTCACAGTGTAATAATCAGTTTAATTTTCTCTTGTTTAGGTGATTTTTTAACCCAAAGATGAATTTTGAGCAGCCCCCTCCATACCCAGGCAGTGGCCCCACTGCTCCAGGCTACCCAGCCCACGGCATGCCTCCTCAAGGCTACCCTGCTCAGGGATATCCTCCACAGGGTTACCCCGTTAACATGGAGCAGCCTAATTCAGCCTACCCCAACTACCCCCCTGGACCAATGGGCCCTGGAGGTCCTTATCCTAACCCAGGCCCTTATCAAGGGTACCCAGGAGAACAGCAGTATGGCTGGCAGGGAGGACCCCCTCCTGGGCCCATGTATGGGGAAGCTCCCAAAAACACAGGTAAGTGGTAACAAAGCAGCAACCTCCAGTGTCGAAAAAATGAAGCCAATGTGGGAGTGCAATAAAACGGCAGTTCTTCCAGTGTCCACTTGAGGCTTGCTCAAAGAGACCCTGAGGGCACACTCACACTAAGCAATCCGTACCGTGCCATAGCATGCTTCTACGATAAAGTCCAGTTAGACAGCCTTCATTATGGAGAGATCCTGGAGTGTTATGGCTGTATCGACTAAAATGACTCAAAATATAAGCCTCAAAGTCAGTAAAGTAGCTGTCTTGTTCTCTGTGTTTTTCTCTGACCCGACAGCACGTCCCTTATTTTTTTTCTCCAGTCCGCCTGTGTTATAAACTAAGCATGCTTCATGTTCACGTTAAGACATTCATGAGGTAACCGGTTAGTCCTGGAGCAGTGATAGAGTAGGCCAGCAGGGGAATGTGGAGGGGGAACCCTCGTGGTTAAGCATGGTACGGGACAACTTTGCTAGTGTGGGTGACGTCACTCCTGCTTTGTCCATTCATATTTACAGTCTTTAGTGGTAACAAATGACAGAGGTTGTAATATACAGATTTTCTTATAGTGTAAGGATTGGTTTGAAGACCACTTTAGACATGAGAGGTGATAACCTCAATGTCAGTCATTGACATACAATCAGAAGTCTTTGGTGCATCTAGCAGTCTGCTGCAGTGTCACTTTGTTGAAACATTGTCGATACACAGACACAAAATTTAGCAGCAGCTCATCAGAAGAGCTCTATTGACATATTGTTTGTGTGCAAGCAAACTTTCTGCTTAACCGGATTGAAGGTTGGGACTCGAGCTGTGTTGGGAAACTGACAACAGACCGATCAATTAGACATTATTTTTGACTGAATATTCAAAATAATGCAGTAAAATGTACGATTTTTAGAGGAAGGGCTGATACAGGCCTGCAGTATTTATCCAATACTTAATACAAACAAGAAATGTTTAGCACTGTTCAAATTACAAGTAGTCAAAGAAGGGTTGGAATTATATTGAAACATGGCACATGAATGATCAAATATGAAAACTTTGATCAAAAAAGCTCAATAAATGAGTGTACCCCAAAAATGATGCTTCCAACATATGGTCACATTTGAGAAGCAGGTACCAAATATTATTTGGCTTTCTGTTAAAAAAAAATTACTTTAAGCAGTTAATAGAATAGTTACCAATACTTTTTCTGGGTTTTGTGATATATTAAAGAACGAAATGATTTAACCACTCTGACTGAAAAAAAACGAAGAAGCTGTAAGTTTGTAGAGGAAGCAATTAAGGGAACGCTAGTGAGAAGTTAAGCCAGTTTTAAGATAAAAGTTGTAACAACCCCAACTGAGCATCCAGGATAGATTGAACAAACTGTGAAATAAAAAGAACACTTGTCTCTGCAAATACTCAAATTGAATATGCAAAGAAAAGGCTTCCAGAGAACTCACTTAGCACCTGAATGTAGAAAAGAGTGAGGTGTTACTAACTTCAGATTAGTCAAAGTGACTGCTCTGTTATCAAGATTCTTGTTCTGAATTATTTTATTAGAGATGATCATTACTAAAACAGACATATCATTCTTTTCATACTGTTATCAGTGTGCGGTCTGATAAGTGGCCAGCTTGCTTCACTTTATGTCTTTATTGGGAGCTGGTCTCCTTGGTAACACACCGAGTCATGGTACATGGTTGTTAATAGCTGGCTGAGTGTTTACCCCCACATGAATGATTAATCACAAACACAAGGAAGAGGAGACGTCTTCTGTGACTGGAACAGATGGTAAAGTTAACATATGACGAGCTTCATTAGGATGTATTAACTGTACAGCCCCTGCTACATTACTCCACACTAGATGTGAAGTAAATGGAAATGCCTTGTTGGGGGTTAGGAGGTGTGTCCTTCTGAAACCTCTTATTTCATTGGTTTATACCTCAAAGCATTACTACTCAACTGTAACGCTGTCTGATTATGGTTCTTGGCTGCTATGGCATTACCATGCCGATGTGCCTCCCCAAATGAACGTAATTAGAGGAATATCATAGCAGCTATGGTCACACTTGGAATCTTTACTGGAGACCTGATGGTGTGATATATCTCTGGTTTTATGCAAGTCTGCAAAAGGAATCCCTTCTTGCTTTCTTTTAATTGTCCTCCATTGTTTTTTCTTCCTCTCTACACGACCTTGTCATCCCCTCCTCCTGCACCCCTCTCTCTCTTTTTTTCCCCCTCCAGTGTACGTGGTGGAGGACAGGAGAAGAGACGACACAGCGGACACATGCCTGACAGCCTGCTGGACAGCTCTGTGTTGCTGTTGTCTTTGGGACATGCTGACATAACGTATTCCCTGAATGTTCGCTCCCATTACCCTCTTGTCCCCCATTTCTGTGCCTCGAGCCCCATCACCCTGACCCCTATCTGCCTTACACCTCACACTCCTTTACAACCACCCCTCCCCCCCCCAAGTCTTATGCTTGTCTATATATGAAAGCCTTGATCCCATGATGTCTCCTGAAAAAGCCACTTGTTCCTCCTTAATGTGAAGCCCTCAGCGCTGTCTGACTGACTGACCCTGTGCAGGGGAAACTCTGTAGCAGCTTGTAACTGAGCTTCTAAGCATAACCTGAATCTCAGGCTGCTCACTGAAATCTAACACCAACACCCAGCATGCACACTCACACCATCATGGTTACACAATAACACACGCAGACACACACACACACACACACACACACACACACACACACAGTGTACTTGGATCTCAGGCTCATCTAGTGTGTGGCTCTTTGGCACTTTATGATGATTACCTCTGTAAGATATTACTCCTGCCTTCCCTCTCAGCCATCTCGAACCCTCCCTAGCCCCACATTCAGCTATGCTACTCCCTGTCGCCAAGGACAACCCCATGTCCCGGACCCTCGATTTCTCACACAGGCCACCAAGACCCTGGCTGTTAAATCAGCCTCAGGGCGCTCTGAAGAAGCTGATGCTTGAAACGTATCCCTTTTCATTTGCACAGAAGCAGTTTTTGCAGATGTTTGTCTTCAAGTGAAATCATATAACAATAAATGGAATGCATTTTTGATGACGACAGTGATTTATGTTTGATTACTGTTCACATTCGATGGCCTCGATGTTCCTTATTTTCATGGTGATCTTGATATGAAAAACGTTATTCCAATATTATTTTTATTACATACCTTCGAGATAAAACTGAAAATGTGAAAAAAGATTGTGATTGCTTAAAAAAAACTTGTTAAATGCCTTTTTTGCTTAAATGAGAATCTTGCATTAAAATAATTTATTCCCATTACATGAAGTGCTTAGTCTTTTGTGTTTGTTTGAGGGACAAGAAGAGCGTGCGTTGTGTGTGTGTGTGTGTGTGTGTGTGTGTGTGTGTGTGTGTGCGGGTGTGCGGGAGGTTCAAGGGGACTCTGGAGCATAGATCAGTGTACTGGGGCCAGGCTGTATCCATTCAACTATTTTTAACACGGCAGGCAGCAACATGGCTCCCTGCCTGATGCACAACACTCTGTTTCCTTCAAGTGAAACTAAAGCAATGAAGGGACTACTGGAAAAGTTTTACTGTAGCACTATACAGGTCAGGTCAGTTCCACAGCATAGACTTAAATAATCGATCCAGTGACAAGTGACTTTTCTGAAGAAGGATTTTCAATAAAAAAAAAGATCAGTTTATAAAACGAAATGCTTTGCAGAATAGTCACAGATGGAGCGGCTGTGGCTCAGTTGGTAGAGTCGTCTCTCAACCGGAAGGTCGAGGTTTCAATTCCCAGCTCAAGTCCATTTACCATTTACCATTTGAATTGAACAACCACTCAGTATGAAAACTAAAGAAAACCTACATTGACCAATTACAACATTAAACCTGTGTTTTACTTTATATTACGCAACATGCCTTTCTGGGTGATGAGTTTATCTTCAGCACATTAAAGTAGTTTTCATTGCTGATAAACCTGCAGTTTACAGTAATTTAACTTGAAAACTTGCAATAACCTAAATTGACCACTTGGGGGCACTGTAAGCAAACCTGAACATATTATACAGTCTGCTGTGAACACAAGCCTAACACAATTACACATCCCGCAGATAGGTTGCATCATAAACACTCATTTTGAATACTGTGTGTATCAGATGTTAAAGGCTTCACTTTATTCACTGCTGTTCAGCGCTGCAGGTAGTTTCCTTTGTTTTTGTAACTCTCATGTTGGAAAATGTTGCCTGCCTCAGTTTAAAATCGAACTATGAACAACCACAGCGACGAGTTCACACAGTAACAAGAGCTGTGGGAACTGGAAGGATTGTGTGATTATTCTCCGTGCAGTTCTTTACTCAAGGGACTTTTTAAACATACTGCCAGATACTCTTTTTTTAAATATAAGTATTTTATATAAACACATTTTATTTAGCTCCAGCTATAAGGAGTAGAGTCGTCTTAGATTTAATGGAATAAAGTTGAATGATCCTCAGAAATCACAGTTATCTGTAAACACTTCACATGGGTAATTGTAATGGCTACTTAATAGCACATCGGTGAAACAGTCTTAAAAACATTTGCCCCTGTTAAAGTGTCTTAAGAATACGATAATGTGTTTGGAGGAGGGAAACAATAATTGCAGTGTTTTGTTATAGTCAATGTCTGGAGCACATGAGTACTTTATCTGTCAGACTGATGCATAATTAACAAAAGGGGAAAAGCTGTGTGAATCAATAGAGCTCTGCAACTTAAAAAAAAGTGTGCTCTGAAATGAACTTATGGTGATGTATGCTGTGAAGTCTGGTGGAAGTTGCACCCGGAGAGAGAAAGAACACAAACAACTTCAAACAGAAACATGAGATGAAAGTGAAAAGTACACGTTGCTCATTTGAAGTAAACAATTATGTTTTATTGATAAGGTTCTCAGAAGAGTCTCGTTTCAGTGAATGTATAAGAATCATCCTTTGATAATACTGATTTGGTACAATATGACATCCAGCACGAGTCTCTTCACAGTGAGAAGGATCCATTACTGCTACTGCTGTCGGGATCTAGGACAGAAACATCTCTGCTTCCAAACCAAAAAACAGTCAAAAACAACAAACTGGGGATTGATATTGTAGATATGGAATATTAGAGTGCCACAAAACTCTAGAGTAGTAAGACCAGCTAAAGATTTTGCACATTACAAGCCACTTCCTCTTAGAAATATAAAACTCGATATTCTTGACAATATTCTACTGTGCTGCATAAAGGTAGGTCTATACACTGTACATTGAAATATATTTCGAAAAAACAGATTTCACAGTTTTAAAGACTTTATTTAAAGTATAAACCGTTTTTTTTGTTAAAACACTTTATTACATAAATTATTCTTTTTGAGAGTGACTATTATTTGCCCTGGCAGCAAACTGAAAGTAATACAAAAACAAAATGAACATTTCATACATATTTTACAAAAGAAAATAAACTCATCCATTATGTTCATTTGGAATAGAACTGGTGACTCATTCATGATTGTCATATAGTACTAAGAATAAATAAATAAAAAAAGTTTAAAATAAAATAAATACTAAACTGAGCATGTTGTCCGGACTCTGTGAGTTGTGTGTTTGAATCGTTCTGTACAGAAGTGCCTTGGTGAAAGTCTCACAATTCTACCGCGACTGAAACGTACAAAACTACGGCATCTACAGTATACGCAACATCCTGAAATTTAGTGTAGGCGGACACATATGTAGTAATATGATTCTTCTCCCCATTTCAAAATAAACAATGCTGTGTGACACCACTGTCCACAAATATAGCCATCACTTTTTTTGACTTTGTTTTTTTAAAAAGTTTTATTTTGGAGTCCATTAACAGCTTGAATCGCTTCATTCTGCTGTTAGCTTGTGTGTTGCTTGGTTGGATGTGTGCTGCCTCAGAAGCAGCGGGCTGGTCCGAGGTGGACGATGGGAGGCCTGAGACAGGGAGACGACTCATAGTATAGGGTGACTTTTCCACATTGCCTTGTCAGTTGCTTGTTTATGATGTCCTCGGTTGATGTGAAGTCGTAATGCCAGCACTCTGGAGTAGCTTTTGTCTTCACTTTGGTCCCTGTGCCTTCAGTGTTTATAAGAGACAGACAAGCCTTTACTGCAGAGAGCCAGCGCCGTACAACTCCACCGTGTGATCAGCAGCTGTTATGGCCGCTCTCAGTGTGACCCAAAAAATATGGGCGAAAATATCACTATCTTTTTTAAAAAGGGGAATCTTCTTATTCGCTAAGCAACAGTTCTTTAAAGTTCTTCAGTGCTTTTTCAGTTGTTCAAAGTTTTGTTTTTTTTTCTCAAAAAAGAGCCATTTGACCAAATGATAACTTTTTTTTGCCTGTGGCAGTAAAATTAACAATATGTTTTTTCTGATAAGTCATTCTTTTCAAAAGTCCCTGCAGCGTTCCGCGAGTAACCCCGTATGTTGGTTGAATCTCCATTGGGTTTTTTTAAAAGGAGAAGGGTTGAGGAGGCTGGGCGAGACTAAGGAGCAGAGATCTAGAGAAGTGAGAGTGGGAGAGAGGGACGAGTCTATTCCTCAGGGCTGTTACCTCTTGCCCATCTCGTTCTGTCTCAGGAACTGGATGTTGTTGCTGCTGTCGGCCAGTTCTGGATACTGCTCCACAGGCAGCACATAGTAGCCGTCGTAGCCTTGTACTCGGCCTGTCGTTAGAAGCTGCTGTCTCTCCCCCTCAGTCCAGAGGCGATTGCCCCCCTTCCCGTCCCTGGCCCTCTGCTGCTCCTTGGCCCAGGCCCCCGCCAAGGCTCTCTGCCGGGCCAGCTCCAACAGTCTTACCTTCTCTTCGTCCACCACGTCGACAGCGAGGCCGTACCGAACACTCAGTACCAACGAGGGCACAGCAAACTCCACAGTCACTCCTCTCCTTGAGCGGCCACTCACTGTCACATTGATGCCGCTCTCCAGGGATTTGCGCCCGTTGGTCAGCCCCAAAGCCAACAGGTCACTGTCAGCGGAGCCCACTTTCACAAAGTAGTGACAGTCCTTCCCGTCCTGTGTGTAATGTGTGCCTTCGAGGTACTGGGCGCCATTGAGCACCAACGCCACCTTACGGCTGTCGTCACTGGCCAGAGCCGACACTCCAGCCACCACTCGGCCTTCCTTCAGAGCCAGCATTACTCCTCGGCCTATGATGGGAGTACTGGTGCCGAACCAGTGACCAGGTTTGTCCTTGCGTCTCCTCCTCTCCTTGTCGAGTAGACGACCCTCGAGGGCCATGAAGGCCTGGTTGTGACGCTCCGCTGCTTGCTGCACACCAGTGATGAGCTGAATGAGAAAGAGGAGAAAGCTTGGTGACTTTTTTTGAAGAACTGACGGCCACATTTGGCTTTTGCTGTAAAACATGGCTGGTGTATTTACACTGACATTCACAAGAAAAAGCTGAATCACTATCATGGGATTCATTTTGGCTTTCATTCTGTTGACAGAAAGCACACTGGCTCATACCTGTCCGTTCTCACAGTGCTGTGTGGCCTGCAGCTCATACGGTGGCTCCACAAAGTAGAGCGAGTGTCGAGGGAACCCAGGGATTATGTTACTGAGCTGGAAGCCAAACATCACCAGCCAACTCTTCACATCTACAGCAGACAGGATGAAAAATTCATTCGCTGAGTAACAAAGTTAAACAAGGTCGCAAATGAATCATTTTTCTTCATAAAAAAAGTGAAGTGTGTGTGTGCCTTTGACTCATCTGGTGTTATGCAAGGCTAGCAGCAACTGTACCATCTGTAGTACATTGTAACTCGCTCAAACTATCTTGTTCATGACATTCTGTTTTTTCTGCTCACTGGAGATATCAACCCGTGTCAGGATGTAACAGGCTTATTTAAGATTCTTCTGTAAATGTGACTAAATCACGCTTACAGCGATGAGTTTAGCTTAACTTTCTACTTTATCTCCTTACAAATGTGTTAGCTTGAAAAAAAGTTTAGTTTAAAGATTCACGCAGTCTCATGAACTTACATTTTAGAAAAAGAAAGAAAACATAAACCTTTGTCAAAGTACAAATAGCTGAAATATTCTAAATGATTTCTTACATACAAAGCTTACTTTAGTGTCTTAGTAATATTTATACATAATTTACCTGTGACATAGTTTTTGACATCCAGCATGTCACTGAGAGGGTTATTGTTCTTGAACATGTACAAATTAAATGGAGAGGGATCCTTCCCTATCTTGGGCCACATGCTGTAGTCGGGCGAGGTCCAGCGCCCGGCCAACACGTCGTAGTCCCGCTGGGTGAAGTGGACCAGTTTAGTCAGGGCGTCGTAGAGTCCGCCGTGGAAACCCACCACCAGCTGGAACTCCGGGTTGGAGTCCAGGTACACTTCTCCGTAGGCAGTGTACTGCACCTGGGTGACACAAAGCAGATTCAATTTGCTTTTGGTTTTTTTTCTCAGCTCTACCGCTGAAGGAAAAGGTCAGAACAATGTGTCAGGCACAGAAGAGCTTTCCCCAGAGAGGAGCTTTTTTCAATGTGCAGGTTCATGCTGTTTCTTCCATTCAGTTCCAAGACATTTTGTAGCAGTAAGTGATTGCAATTAAGGTGACCTTCACAGATTTGTGTTTTACCTGTTTGATCATTTGTCCATTGCTGCTGAAGACAGCGAGCGGTGTGCCAGTGTTGTCTGAAGCGATGTAGTATTCCTCTCCACTGCTCACCTCCATGGCGAACAAATGACCCTGATCACAAGACAGAAATACAGTATACTTAAACTGCGTCGCATGATTTTTGTTTTGTGCTTACAAATATGATTTAGCAGCTTTAATTAAGACCCTTGGAAAGGAGAGTCAAAAAAAAAAATCTGTTCAAATATAAAGCAAGACCTGCTGCAGGTACACCATTGCCTACCTGCAGGTCATAGTAGAGCGATGAGATTTCTGAACTGGAGTGGTTGAAGATGTGTGTGACCCTGGCCGGGTGGTTGAGGTCAGCATAGAAGAACTGGAGGTGATTTCCCAGGCTGTTTCTGGTGGACACCCTGCGGCCAAGCCCGTCATAGTGATACACGACGCTCCACCCGCCGGGGCCCCTGTTGTAGGCCCTCAGCAGCTGACCTTTGGAGTTATAGTCAAAGACATCCGACCCCCGCTGGCTGAGGAAGCCGTCTTCATCCAGGCGGTACTGGACGTCTCCCAGGCGGGTAATGCGGTCTCTCAGGTCGTAGCGGAGGGGCAGGATGCGGGCGCTGTTACCGGGGTTCAGCAGATGGAGGTTACCGTTTAGGTCGTAGCTGTAGCGCCAAGTAGACCAATCATTGACCTGTGGAAAACAAGAAAGAGGGATTCAGTCAAACAGTTCATTCCTGCATGTGCCATAAATACTTAAAATTCTAAAGATAAGACAGGATTTATCACCTTGACACCACTGAGCTGTCCATCTCCATCATAATCATAGCGGTACTGAGTGGTGTTGGCATAGGGCCCAATCTTGAGCTCTCTCTTGACGACACGCCCCATGCTGTCGTACTGCACCGTCATCCAGTACATGAGTGAGCGGAAGATCTCATACTGGACCTCCTTGATGCGCCCATGGGTGTCGAAATGCTTGCTCAGCGTCATGACAGCTGTGGTGATGATCTGATTGATGTCATAGTATATGACTCCAAATTTTCCAAAGTGCTCCACCTGTAGCAGAGGGTGAGAACGGTTCAGAGAGAAAAGGTGAGTGACATGGGAAGCAGAAAAAAAGAGAAAAATCCACAATCAAAGTGAGCTACATTTCTGCACCTTTCCAGAGATCTCGTCATATCGATAGAGGTCTACAGGAAGTGGAGTCTCACTGATGACCGGCTTCATGCTGGCGATGCGGAAGCTGTTGTCGTGGTAGGTGTAGTCGAACCTGGCGTTGACCATCCCCTCCTCGCTGAAGCGGTAGATCTGCTTGTCGATGAGCGGGCCCATTTTGCGATAGCGGATGGTGCACGAGAAGCCCCCGCTCTGCAGGTTGACCATCTTCAGCACGCCGGCTGTCTCGTCGTAGCCGAAGGTGATGGCGGTGCTGTCGTACACGATCTCCGACAGCTTGGCCAGCTTGCCGTACTTGTAGAGGACGCGGCGGCCGGTGCCCAGGAAGTGCGAGGCCTGAGGTCTGCCGTCCTCGCTGAAGTCGTGGATGATGGACGCGTTGCTCTCCGGGGGGTTGTAGGTGTTGCGAATGTAGCCGACTGACACGTGCGTGAACATGGTGTGGCGGGCGACGCTGGGCATGGTGACAGCTGTGACCCGGCCCGAGGCGTCAAACTCAAAGACATACTGTCTCTGGCTCTGCAGGAGCAGCACCATGGACTGTAGGCAGAAAGGCAGGCAAAAATAGGGATTAATTTAACAGCATTATCATGGCCGACATGCCTCCTGTGAAATGGCAGCAGAATTAATTTGCTGTCAGCTGACAAATTTGAATTTTTACAAGCATAAAAATGAAGTATTATTACGCTCAATTTCTCCAATCCAATGACAGTTCCTTCTTTTTTTTATTGATTTTCCTACACATGATTTGATTACCTGGATGACAGCGGTTGAGATAAACAAACTTACTTTGTCGAGGTAACTGTAGCTCCACACCTTCCCGTCCACAAAAGAGCGAGACAGAATGCGTCCCTGGGGGTCGAACTCGGTCCTCTCGCTCATGCTCCCCCTCTGCAGACCAACGAGCTGCCCGGTGGTGGAATACGACACGTTGACCACGGCCAGGCTGCTGCTGGGGAGCCACATGGCCGGCCGACCCTGAGCGTCGTACATGATGCGCAGCGTGAACTTTCTGTGGTCGTCGTAAATCTTCTCGGTGCGTGTGTTACGGTCAAAGTCGATGGAGAGAAGATTGCGGCCATGAGCCTGAAAAGAGAGGGGGGGAGAGTGTAAAAATCTTATGCCAAGCTGTTAGATGTGTTGCTACCAAGTGCTGTCACAGAGACAACTCACCCTCAGCTTCCTCCCGAACACGGTGATCTTGCCCTTGGTCTGCTCCTTACGTAGACGCCATTCGATAGAGTTGAGGCCGTTGTCGGTGGGCAGCGTGATGTTCCTGCGGCCGATCGTGGGGCTGACCGAGCCGGCCAGTATGTGTGGCTCCGTGTGAAAGCTGATGCCCATACCATTTGCATACATCACTCTCAGGGTGCCGTTGTTACACAGCTGGTAGCTGTTCCTCACCTGGTCTGTAGAGGGAGACAGACAGGTAAAAGGTAAGCATGGAGTCATCTTAATGCATTCAAATCCAGTCTACTTAAGGATGTAAGACCCCAACCTCGACATGAACCATGGACGGATATATTTGATTTGGGTTGGATACTGATGACAGAGACTTTTTTTCTTCTCAATCGTGGGATAGAAATCCTGCACTATTAAAAACTCTTCTGAGTATTGGAGGGTTCCTTTCCTAATTATCCGACCTATGGTCCTTAATGTGACAGAAAAGACAAGAGAATCGATTGGGGGCATTGGTTTGACAAGGAGGATATGGGATTCGTCATATATATATGTCTATATATATATGACTGCTTTGCTCTTTCATCCTTTCTCAAGAAAAAAATTATGTGATGAGATTTCAATAGAAATTTTAATAGCTTGTCAAAACCTCCCGATGCGGAAGAGAGGCTCAGTGCGGTGTTAATATTGCCAACCCCAAATTTAAACTGGGATGGCCTAATATTTTAAACATAACAAGGATCCTCTTTCTTTAATACTGACACTGAATGGTGTTCTGTTCAATCCTCTCAGTGCCACAGCTGTTGTTTTGTTTTGTAATGCAATTCAATCTTACTTCTTGTCACATTTTTCTTTTTACATCGGGGTTAAAGGAAAAAGGAACATTTACTTTAATAGACTATTAAACTATTAAACAGCACAGGTCGTGTTGATGCTTTTCTGCTTGAAATTAAATTAACTAGAAAAGAAGCTTAGAGACTCTTGTTAGTATGAATCAGAACATAATCATTAAACATCAAAGGGCCAGATTAAAAGACTGTACAAACTCAAAAAATGTTCTGAATGAGGAAAACACTGACAGATATCTACAATCCTGCGATCTCCTTATGACTCAGTCTCAAACACAAGAATAGAAACAGATAAGCCCGTGCCTAATGCTGAGTCTAATTTTTCCCTCTGATGTCTGAAAAACAGACGTCCCGATCACAACGATGTGATTCAAAGTAAGATAAAAATTGTTTTGTCGGCTCAGAAATATCTGGCACATGCGGTGTGAGATCTTTTTTTTTTTTTTAATTCATTTACAAAAGGTGAGGGGATCAGATGGTGTCTCCCTTTGAAGCCCTGCCATAAATGACAGTAATCCATAAGGCCAATTTGTAATAAAGCTCCAGGCACATTTTAACAACGCCTCAAACAGACAAGTGAAGCTTTTTCCATTGACTTGGCAGCAACAGCCTTTAGATAAATCTTCCTTGCTCTCTCTGTCTGAACAACCTCGTAATAAAACCGAAGCAAGGGAGAGGGAGAGAGGGAGAGAAACGGGAGCTTGAGGGCCAAGGAGAATTCACTGTGCAGGAGTTAATGAAGAGAGCGAGAAAGAGCGGAAAAGAGAGGGAGATGGTTAAGTGAGTATGTCAGCAGAGAGCTGTGCTGAAACCCACACAGTGCGCTGGAAACCTTAAATGACTTACAGCTCCGTGAACAACTCTACCGTTTTCCTCCCGCACTGCAGGTGGATCACTGAATACATCTACAACTTATTTTTCTCTGTGGCCTTCAGACTCATATCACCCACAGCCTGCATACACACTTTTGTCACGCCGCTCACACTGGTCAAGGGAAGAAAGGCAATTACTCTGCTTCTTCTTCCTCCTCTCCAAACAGACCAAATAAGCTCAGGGATCATGGGAACAGGTTGAGAGCTGTATTTGTATGACAGTGTGTGTGTGTGTGTGTGTGTGTGTGTGTGTGAGGAGAATGCTTGAGGGATGAGGAGGATTCACTCTACATGAGTTAATGAATTTTGCTGTGATGATATTCAAAAGCAGGATGATCCCAGCTGGGATTAACAGCTATATATTAGTAATTTTACTCCATAAGAGGGAGTAAGAGAGGGCTGGATGCGGGTAGAAGAGGAAAAATAATCTCCTGGAGCATTCACATAACTGAGTGAAAATTACAAGACTTTCAATTAGAGGCGGCAGGCCGGCGCATATTCAGCATCACAGAGGGCAGCTATGTTTTTTGAATACCAAGATTAAGAAGTTATGGAGTGTGCACGCATCTCATCAATATATCAATATGAAATGAAAAGAACTCAGTTAGACTTCTTGAGGATTTCAGGCATTTTGATTTAAACCTTTCAAAAACAGTCAATGAAAAATAATTAATTCAGAAATCATCTATATTCAATTTGATTTATCTAGCCCTCTGGTGGTGATTTGTGTCCAGCATTCATCCAACCCTTCGTGCCACACACTCTGCAATGTTCACAAACATATTTAAAAATTCATGACGAGCTCTTTTCCCTCTGTATTTGCTGAGTGGGAACGTCTCTACCTTGCACCACGGTGTACGAGGCTTCCACAGAGGACAGGTTGGTGATGACTGTGACATCGTCGTCCCTGCTGGAGCTCTCAATGTCGATGTTGATGGAGCGCTCAATCTCGCGGTGGAGACTCGTCACCATGCCTGTCGGGTATGTCATGTTGGTCAGGCGACCCTCGCTGTCGTACCTGAGTGATGACGGGTGTGGGAGTGAGGGGGAGGACATAATTAGATAAATATATTTATAGAAAGAGAGATCGACTTTATGCTTTGTAGCCGCAGTTTAGCAGCAAGACCAATAATACATTCAGTAATTGTTTATTTACATCAAATAAAAAGTTAAACTCAAAAAGGGAACTTCACAATAATGTGTAGATTAAATACACATTTTAGGCGTAAGGGAAAAAAATCCCAAACGCAATCTTTGTAATAATATAATCTAAAAATCTCTACTCTACTTTGTAAAACCAACAAATTAAAACACCACTTGAATCCACTACAGATATCATAATGTATAAAACACACTAGGCACTGAGTTAGATGAGTTAAGTTTGCAAATAAAATATATTTTTCATACACACGTGTCTGTCTCGCACTCAAAATACCCTTGCGCTAACACTGCCAGAGGGAACAGACCAGTCACCTTACAGGCTCTGGCTGTCGAACTAAAAGCCACCACTAGGGGGCAGCAGTACACTTTGTGTTGTGTCACTATGTGTACTTGAGGATGCACTGGAACGTGATCAACATAAAAACCTGTGAAACTCATTCATTTTGTATTTCAGACGTGTGGAAGAGGGTTTGAATAATACAAACACATAGTCAGACACTTTCACAAACACTCACTGGTAAAATGTGGTCCATCCGGTCTCATCGGCTTTGGTCGCCAGGAGACCTGTGTTGCCACTGTAACCCATCAGAGCCACCTCCTGGCCCATGGCTGACACACTTCGCAGCCTCCCAGTGGGGTCCAGTCCGAGGGTCACCACTTGATTCTCGGGTAGCAGCACCAGTCTGAGCAGGCCCGCTGCACCCCCTTGTCCTTGGCCGTCCCTCCTCACCTTCACCGTGTTGTTGCAATTATCACTCAGCGTGGCCAGCTCTCCATCAGGACCGTAGGAGAAGTTGAAAAGCGGCTCCCCGGTCACCAGGCTAATGGTCTGGATGTGAAGCCCCTCCCCGTTGAAGACGTACAGCTCCTGTTCCCTGGGCGACGCCACCTCATACTGTGCAGACCCTGCGTAGCCCACGCTGGAGACAGCGGGGCCGGGACGGTTTGCTCGCACGGCTCTGATGCGTATGTTATTGAGGTCAGCAATGAAGAGCGTCCCATCAGGGGAAACGGCCAAGGAGGTGGGGGAGTTCAAGCCAGCGTCGGGGGCATAGCCATCGTCGCCGTAGAAGCAGTTGCAGTTGACGTCATTCTTGCAGTCGCAGTCGGAGGCGGCACCGGCCAGAAGAGAGATTTCTCCATTAGTGCTCACCTACAAAAACAAAAGAGGCAGACAATGGAAAAGGAACGATGAGATTGCAAAAAAAAAAAAGGTCACAATCTAGTGAAAGAAAATATATTATCAAACCCCAAAATCATTTTGAGTTCTCAAAACACAGAAATGGAAACAAGTTCAAGTCTCTCAACTGAATGTAGTGTCTGGAGATCTGAAACAATCTCAGAATCTCCCACATGGCTTGACCGGCTGTGCTGTCGGTTTTTCTTGCCAACAAAATAGCTTTATATATTAAAATAAAAGTGCTGCACAGCCAAACAACTGAGTGCAGTCCTCCTCTGTTTCCTACCTGTCTCACTCTGTTGATTTTCTTCTCATCTGTCTCAGCGATGTAGAGCATGCCGGTGTGTGACAAAGCAATGGCCGTGGCACTTTCCAGGGCCGCGTGTATAGCCAGCTTGCTAAGGCTGTAGTCGATTCCTGGCACTTGACAATGCATGGGCCGACCTGCTATGATGCTCACCTGTAGAAAAACAACAGAGACGACCAAATCTATACGATTAAAATAGTCAGATATTAAAAGTGCTTCCCTATTTAAAAAAATAATCTTTCAACACTGAATTTAGACTCCAGAAAGTAAAATATCCCTGAAGCTAATTAAGGAGTAATATCGCACCACTTTAAAACTTAGAAAACTACATTAGCAGTTGAACTTTTACTTCTAAATTGGGCCGAGAAAGACTAATTAGGACCAAATCCTGTCAAAAGCCTACAGTGAGTGTCCACTCTAAGGGTGCTGCAGTGGCCACCTAGCCATGTATAACAGACCTGGTGGTTCTCAGTGATGCGGAGGATGACATTGTTTTCCAGGACGTAGAGAGAGTTGTCCATGGGGTTCACTGCTAAGTCCGTAGGCCACTCCAAACGAACCTGACGGGCGAAACAAAGTGAAACATGAGAGGATATCTGTTATGTGGGAGGCGTTTTGATAGGACGCCAAGGTTCATGCTAGTCTCTTCTTCATTTTTTTAAAAAGTGACTGCAGTCCGCACTCTCTTTGGATCCATTAATGCATCAATGGACTCTTTTAATCCCGCCCTAAATCAGTTCCGTCCCCGACCTCCTGGCTGGCACGTGTCCACACAATCATAGCCGAGCACTCAGAGTGGCTGTTAGATCATCATCTATCTCCCCATCACCCCCGTGTCTCTCCCGCACTTCCTACCTGGCTGACGTCCATGCTGTTGTCACAGCTCAGCGGCCGCACGGCGGTGAGATCATTGGCCCCCAGCAGAGTGGAGATGATGCCGTTCTGGTCCACCTTTCGGATCATGGTGGCATCCACAAAGTACATCAGGCCGTTTTTATCCACTGCGATACCTGTCAAAGCCAAGATGAACACCCTGAGTGACGACTCATAACTCAAACTGCTGCAGGGTGAACCCATAGATGTTTTTTAGTCAATTAAACTTCACTCTTTCCACCAGCTGAAAACAGATAGCAGCCCTGACAGCTGAATTGCTCAATGCTTCACCGAATGAGAGGGAAGAAAGTGATGGAGCGGGCATTGAACTGTTAGAGAAGTGTTAGTTTTGGGGATGAGTCATCGGAATTGCAGAGCCGAGCTCCTCCCAGAGGGCAACTGTAGACCGCAAGTTGATTCCTTAAAAAGGCAAAGTGATCCAGAGTATTCTCTACTTCCTTCCTTAGTTACATCTCCTAGCTTTTCTTTGTCATCCCTATCTTTCTACTTTTCATTTGTTTCACTTCTTCAATCGTTTACCAGTGGTGCAGTGTCAGGCCTGTCAGTCTACCAGGCAGCAGGGATTCAGACAGGTGTGTTTGCATGAGGCAACTGTGCCCCAAAATAACTCATAGGTGCACTGAGATACACAACAACAGATGGAGGGTAGAGAAAAGGGTTCACAGAGCAAATGAGAGAGAGAGAGAAAGAGACAGAGACGGAGAGGAAACAGGCAGAGAGGGCGAGCTGATGTGCGATGGCTGACTCTCCCTGTGACAGGTTAGAGGGAACCAGTGTCTCGTTGTCTTCTCTTTTTTTTCTACCATCTCCTCTCTCTCCTCTCCTCCTCCGACACACACACACACACACACACACACACACACACACACACACACACACACACACACACACACACACACACACACACACACACACACACACACACACACACACACACACACACACACACACACAAATACTGTATGTACCACCACATGTACACACACTTGTGTCGCTGACGGAGAAATGTGACAGTGTGACATCCCTGACAGTTTGGTGTCACAATGTTCTCAGATCCAATGATCCACAAAAGAAAAAGCCATTAATAAGTTTAACATTAACCTGGTTTATAACCCCCTTCCGTCTCTGGCCCGCTTCACTCGAGTCACAAGAACAACGGGTTTGTAATAGAAACATGTATTAATGATCAAGTCACATTAATCAGCGCCCTCAGTTTCCCTGTCTGCGCTGAATTACGGATGATTATGTAAGCATAGAACTGTGTAAGACAACAGATTAGAAAAACAAAAGAAAACATGATTTCTATTTGCATACCTCATTGGGAATGAAAGTGTACAAATGATGAACCAATGATGGTTCTATAATCCTGACTAAATATAAAGGTTGTTTCCTGATGGCCTTATTGTAAGTAATGATTAGTTTCTGTTGTTTTTTTTGGATTGATCTTTTAATGGCTCAGCCAGTTTGATTAAAGAAAATAAAGAGAGTTCCCCACAGCTAAAAGTGATATCTTTTTTTTTCTTAATTTGCCTGAACAACAATACAAAACACAAAGATATTCCATTTTCAACACTTATAACAGAAAAAACCATCAAACGGATTCATTTCAGAAGATAATTGACTAAAAGAAGTATACATAACAGTTTCTCCTGCTCACCTTTGGGACTCATAAGTGTCGCTTCAGTGGCCTTGCCCCCATCACCGCAGCGCTCATCAAAGGGCAGACACTGCTCCCCCGTCCCAGCCACCACCTCGGCATTGTCTGACAGCAGGCGGCCTCCCGTTAAAGAGCGGACTTTGTAAATCCTGCGGGAGTTGGTGTCTGAGATGAACAAAGCCCCAGAGACTGGATCCACCGCCAGGAAGTACTTATGGGTCGGATTATTGCTGCAGTGACAGAAAATGCATGATTTTAGACTTACCTTAAATGTTGTTTTTTTTTTTCTCACTGGAAATGATTTCAGGCACTCCTCACTATCTCTATTGTTGCTGAAATGTGCAGAAGTAACTTCAAATTTATTGTGATAAAGATCTTACCTGTGTCGGAAATCTTTGTTCCTTCAAGCGAGAAAGTGAGATAAAAGCACAACAAAACAAATGTTAATTCACACAGTCTGCGGAGAGCAACCTACAGAGAGCAACACAAAGCAGGCTGTGGTGTGAACAGCAGATTTAACCATGGGTAAAAATACCCTGGAGAAACAGTTTCTTGTACAGTGTATAATTCTTCTTCCATCATGCTATCCCTAGTGTCTCACCTTACTTTTTTCTTTGTCGAGAAAAAATGCAATCGTACACCTTCTACATGCTGTAAACATCTGGACTCTTCTCTCTCTTCTAAATCTAATCCAACCAACCTTTTTAATGTTATCAGTATTTATTCTGAAACATCATTATATTTGATCTGGTATACACAATTCTTTGACCTCTCCTTCCTGAAATACACATTAGGGATCTTTACCTCAGTTCCAGGATGCCGGTTGTGTTCATAGACGGGTAGACCCTTCGTACAAAGTTGAGATCCCCGACATAAAGACTGCCATCAGTGCCCATTGCCAAAGCGACCGGTGCCAGAAGCTTGTTGCCGTCTGCCAGGCCGTTACAGCTGGGGCAGGAGATGCTGCGTCTTCGTCCATTTCCCATGACGCTGGTCATTACTGGTGGCTGCTCCGTCACAAAGATGTTCTCACCACTTCCCTTGTGAAGGATACCTGGACAGGGGACACACGTAGAAGAGGATCATTGTACAGTTAGAGGAAAACATTTTGATATAAAATATATTGTAATTTTCAGTTGCGCTAGCTTTGTGGCTCTGGGGGGTGAGGGAGGAAGGGCGATGCCAGACAGTCAACCAGCTTATTCTCAAATTAATTTAGTCAGCAACAATTAAATATATTGCCATTTTGTCCAGACATTCAGGGTGCATGAGGATAAAATAAATGATTTTGTTGCATTTGCCGGAATTTTTATGCTAGAATCATTAATAAGTTTGCATTTGCACAAGCAAGTAAAATGTCAAGACTAAAAACTGATCGCACTGAAATAAGGTACAGATTCATTCAAACCCTCTAAAAACAAACTGAGGTCACGCTGGTGATTCCTAAACTCTTAGTTTACTTCTATCTTCAGGAAAAGGTTGGAACTTTTCCAGTACCTAGACTTCCCATCATTCTCCTCCTAAACAGTATGAATACGCAGCAAGCTAACATGCTGAATGAAGACAGTGAGCATAGTTAACATTACCTATTCTAAACATCAGTATGTTAGCAGTGTCTGTGAAAGCATGTCATGATCCTGATGGCAACATTTAGTTGATCGTTTAACGTTTATGAAGAAACTAAGTCAGATCTACGACACACAATCAAAGCTCTATTTGTGTGTGCTGTTCAACAGTGAAGTAAACCAGCAGCCGCTACGAGTTGCATTTTATTACCTTCTGAGTCATTTTGATGACCAGGCATTAGTCACACTGTAGCGTTGCATCATTCCCAGAAAGAACATGATTATACAATACTGTGTGAATACATCCCCTCACTTCTAAAAATACCTCTGAACACCTTTGGGTCTCCACTTGTGCCTTTACCATTAGAACATCAATTGTCTCAGCAGGTGAACATCAGTGCATCAGCCCCGTTATATTTCTATGCTTTTTACTGCACGGAGGGTAGATAATGGTAAAGCAGATGATGCATCAAGAATGACTCCCCACATCCTGAATCAGCACCTACAAAATGTTCCCCTGCCCCTTCTGCGGACCCCCCTCTGTTCGGGTGCCTGTCACCGATTGGTCGGCATACACATGTTAACACAGCAGGGCTGGTGTGAGTGGATAAGGGAGTCAAACTAGGTGAGACAACACATAAACGCTTCCTGTGAAAATCCTCACTGCCAGGTAAAAAGAGGCGCCTAGCAGCTTCATGTGAACCACAGGAAGCACATTATGGTTTGCACAGTCCCGAAGGCAATAGCAGATTTGGTGAGATATACAAAACCTGCTACACATCGGGAGCTAGATACATTTATAAACATAAATACAGAAAATATGGAAGATATTGGAAAAGTCAGTGCTCATAAGTGAGGGAATATAAGAGTGTGTGTACATACCGCTGCGTGTATTAAGTATATGATGCTTGTTCAGTGACCAGCCGCCCAGACTGGTGGGATCCAGTTCGTAGCCTTGCAGAATAGTTGTCCTCTTCTCCCAGAGGATGAGACTGGCACAGGATTCATACTCGTAGCCGACGGATACTACAAAAAGGGAGGGAGTAGAGGTCAGAGGAATGAGAAATAAATGATGAAGAGAAGAAAACTTAAAAGGAAACAACAGAAAGAGGAAACTTCATGAGAGCATAACCCTCCGAACTTAATTGAAGTTGTGAAACGTGTGATGCACAGAGAATCTAGTTAGCACCTGTACCAAAATCTGCACTCACACCTACCTCACACCCTCACATCTTCTGTTAAATCAATTAAAAACCTTGTTAATTGGGCAGATTACCCAGGCGATGTTTTAAACCTATAGGTCACACAGGATGCCATGGAGACATAACATCGGAGCCCAATCAGAGACATGTTCTAGCTGATTTGGCTAAATGTAAGAAGGAAGAAAGTCAGTAAATACGTCCGGGGGGGGGGGGGGCGGTAGATATGTTGAGACAATTCTGTGTTCCTGTGACATGCACTGTATAATGTATGTGTGAATGTATGTGTGTGTGTGCTGTTGTCTTCCTGAGAGTGAGAGTGTTAACACATCAGCTCCCACTTGAGTCACTGTGAAAGTGCTGTGAGCAGCACCTTTTCAACTTCAGAGAAAATAATAGTGCTGTATACCTACAAATGAACCCATGCTTAGCAGAAAACAACATTTCTGTAAACCACAGATGAGTGCTGTGATTTTTTGAGAAAAGGTGAACTTACAGTTTATCCAGGGTACTCGGGGGATCTGTGAGTGAATGTCAGTTCCCAAACCCCCTCATTCTCAATGCCCCCTCATGATTGCAGTCCGCCACTGAAGCCCCAGATGTCCGCTGCATCTGTGTCCTGACAGCCGTGTTTGCCTGACAGCATCTGTGAGCGACTGTGACAGCGGAGTGTAATAGCGCTGAGGCTTCCCTGGACTCCTGCTTGCTGCTCCAGTAGCTAACTGCTAACTCACCCTGATGGCTAATAACCCTTCACCGCAGTTACGGCTGGCTCACTGAACCACGCTCTGCTTCGATGAAAAATAGACGTGTGTATGAAAAAAAAGCACTTAACTGTGGCTATACTACGTACTACATGGAGGCTGGGTTTCTGCTGTATTATGTCTCCTTCAAGCTTCCTAATTAGCACTCCTTCCCTCTGTCACAGCCTATGCTATTACTCCAAGAAAGGCTTTTAATCCACTGGGATGAAATTACTCTTTTCACCCACATAGTCTCCTCTTCTATCCATCCGACCCACTCACCAACAGCTTCAGAAAGTCCGTACACCCTCTGGCCGTATGCGTCGGTCTTATCCCAGATGTAGGTGTAGGCCAAGTTAGGGGAGGCGTGGAACCACTTTTGGAAGAGGTGTCCCTCCACTGCTACCATCAGGTGAACCTTCAGCAGCCCCATGGACACCACAGCTGGAGTCATGGTCACCTTGAGCAGGGAGCGGTAACCCTGTGTCCTGGAGCTTAGGTAGCACAGCTTCAGACTTGTGCCGGGCACCTCGATCTGCTCATGCAGCACCTGGAAGACAATGAAAGAAGACGACAGGAGAGGAGGGATTAGGGGGGATTAGAGAGAGAGGGAGTAATGGGGGTCACGCTTCCACTCACGGCTGAAGGACAAAAAAAGGGAAAAAAACAATGGAAGAAATAAAGAAATAAGAGAAAGAGGTAACAAATGTGGGGGGGAAAGCTATGGAAGTGAAAGGAGAAAGAGAGCTACAGGAGGCAGGTATACAAGAGAGTGACAAAGAGAGCGAGGGGACCAGAAGGGAGATTAGCCGGCTGCCAGAGTTCAGTGGTACTGCACCTGTGTCTCCGGTATGATGGGTTTCTCCCCTGGCTTGGAGCTGAAGAAGGAGGAGAGAGGGGATGCAATCACAAGAGGGTCAGGCCTGACGAAGCCGCTCAGGTCGCAGCCCGGGATCGTGTTCTCTTCTGTCTTAAGCACCAGAGTGTCCATAGCATAAAACTGGCTCCAGGGCAGCCACACTGTGCGCTCCTGGCTCAGGAAGGGGGCGCGCTCGAACCGCAGAGTCAGAGATGCGCCGCCGTTAGCTATCAGGTCAAACCTGAGGAGGAAGAGGACGCGAGTGAGGCACAGGTGGGGAGTGCTGTGGTGGACCTTTATATGGACTCACAGTGTTAGTGTTTGATTCTTCTAATAAAGCATTTAAATCACTGCTTTAGACAAAAACAACCCCTGGAATCAATGTTTCTAAAAGTATTTAATATGATAGAACACACTCTTACAACATTTTAATCTAGACAGACTGTGTGGACAAAAGTAAAAGCTCTGAAATATAAAATAACAAATTGTTAGCACACTATTAGTTTTATGTTCCACATTATGGTTCCACATATGGTATCCACATTTGCTGTAACAAAATATCAAAGCTCTGTAAGTGTCTGGAGCTGCTGTGACAAAGAGATTCTAACAACTGGAAGAAAAAAAAAACATTCATCAAAACGAAACAAGGTCAGACATGGACATTAGAACATGTTGGCCCAAGTCACAAGTCCATGAAAGTGATGAGTTAATGCCCCCCTGAAACACAAGGTCAATCAAATGTTACAAGAAGATTAGCTGCTTCGGTGTCAGCTCGGCCTGACTGGGAGAAAATACTGCAAAGAAATCATCGAGTTAGAGGAGGGAGAGGAGTGCTTAAAGAACCTGAGACAGGAGACACAGAGGGTTGCACATTTAGACGAGGTCAGTATCAGACTTTGTAATAACATGTTACGGATGTCAGCCGGACTAAAAATTCGATATAACTTGTAGGAGGGGAAATTGGACAGAGAAGTCAAATTAAAGCAGCCTAAAAGTGGTGTTCCTGCAGAGGGAATAGAAAAGACATGTCAGGTGAGTTAACCGAATGCATTCAGGAAGAGGCCTTTCAAGCAAAGGAGTCAAAGTTTGCTCTAAAAGTTTCTTTAATGACCTTATTATTTGGTTTCACACACTGTAGCGTGTATTCTTTAAGCAAACTTGTTCTGTAAAGACCTGACGGGGAAACAAGCTCTACTTCCAGCATTCGTTCTCATTTGAGCAGAACAATATATTCATTTTTTATAATGTGTTTTTCTTCCTCTCATTTTCACTTCAGTTATATTTTGTATTCATAAATTTCCACTGAGGGGATTGTTGTGTTTAAATTCTCAGTTGCATTTCTGTAAATACATTTACTCTTCCTTTATCTGAAATCCCCTTTCTTACAGTATCTAATTATTTCTGACTTAGCCGACTTTCCTCATGGGATCATTACAGTTTCCTAAATTAATCTAATCTAACCTAATCTAATCCGGTGTGATCTAATCTAATCCAGTGTAATCTAATTATTCGCCCTGTGTGGTGAGGTAGTTGCAGAGATTCAGCGAGGAGTGCCGTGTAGCTGCTGTACGTACATGCCGTCCTGCCGTGTCAGCGTGTATCCATACTGGGGATAGTTGACAAAAGACACATTCACCCCCACCAGTGGGGTCCCATCTGTAGTCAACACCTGACCCCGGATCAGAGACGCCAGACTGAAAACAAAAAAAAAGAAGAGACAAGAGTGAGAGGGCAATAGTTAATCTATCAGCCAAAACCTTCCTAACCATCAATCATCTGGTTTTGATTAATATCCCCATCTCTCAATCATCCAATTTAGATGATCATTTATTGCTCTGGTCTTCCACCACTCCTTAATTAGAAGCAATCAGCAAGCCCCGCCATCCACATTAGCTCATGTCAATCACGTAAACAAAACATGACAACGTAGATGGATGTGTGTGTATGCCTGTGTGTGTGCTGGTATGCCCTAGATAACGGATACACACATTGAATAACATTTAAACATTTAAGAATATGATCACTTTGATGAGTTATTTCCTTTTGAATCATCCGATGTCGGTGTGTTTTAATGTAAGTAGATGGGAATCAGCACCTTGGACAGCGTTTCACAGATCCTCTAAAAGGGACCAAGAATCATGGCAAGGCTTTGGTACTGGACTCTGTGAACCAATCTGAAAACTATCTGATATATCTGCATTCTTAAAAGCATGTGTGAATACTCACCAGTCTATGAAACAATTACAAACATGTTCAGGACTCATATCCTGGTTGTATACATACATGTATCCAATAAAAAGTGCTTTATGGTGACCTATTAACACTTTATATAACGAGTAATTACAAGGCTGTGTGAAATACTTGGTTCTGATTGGCCAACTAGGCATAGCAGAAAGGGAATCACAGCTTTGCATCAGGGTCCATTCTGTCCACTATAAATTATCCCTTACATAAAGAACTAAATGTTAGCAAGTTGTTGAAATATGTGGTGAAGCATATTTATGTAAAAATAGAGTTAATGTTTCAGTCTTTTTTATTGTCCTCCTTTGTTTTCTACTTGTAAGTGATTAAATCTCTTTTGGAATCGTTCCACACCTACATATCCCTTCAGCTTCTGAAAGCTGAAAATACCCTAAATGCTGTTCAGCTTTATTTCTCTAGAAATATGTAAAACTTCAAGCTGGGTTTTGTAGTTTTGTCAGGGTCTTACTGGTGTGTGATGAAGCTGAAGACAGTAAACTTCATATGTTTGGTAACTCTTTCAGCTCATAGTCTAAGTCTGGTGTCAAAGTCTGTGTTTGTGTGTTTTTCTGACCCCACCTTGAGTTGAAGGGGTTTTCTCCCGGGAGGATGTGGGTGCTGTCTCGCCCCACAAGCATCTTGACGCGGTCGTAGAAGGAGCGGACGCGGACCTGGGACACCGGGCTCTGCTGGATGACTGTGAGAGGATCCCTGGAGCCCCGACACAGTGGGCTGTTCTGACAGGGACTCTGGATGCAGCAGTCTGGGTCCATGCAGTCTGTCAGTCCATCTGAGAGATAGAACATGGAAGAGGATGAGATGGTTGTGTGAGGAATGTAAAAAAGCTACCCCTACTCCTTCAATTATTTTGAATATATTTATAATCTTGGATTCTCCTACAAAATAAAATTATATTTTGAAAGGATTCCTCTCATGAGACCTTTATCTTAATTATTTCTCGTTGTAATTGATTATTTTTCTCTGTCATCCTTCATTCCTTGGACAAGCTATTTTTTTTTATACACCAAATGTTCTCCCACTTCACCTCCTTCGTTGTCCTTGTTATCTGCACAGGAGGTCTCCATGGCAACACTGCAGCCGGGGCCCCTCCAGCCTGTCTGACATTCACAATGCCAACTCTGCTGCCCCATGGTGCACTGTCCGTTCCCGTTACACAGGTTAGGGCAGCCGTCTGCATGGACAGGACGGGAGGAGGGGGAGAGGAAGGTGAGAAGGAAGGAAGGAAGGAAAGAAGGGGGGGGAGGGTGAGAAGCAGGGTGATGCTTGTTTGTTTTATCAGTGATACACAGATGAACACACACATTCTTACAAACACACACATAGACACATGCTCATATGGTTACAATAGACCAGTGAGGTTACTCTATTTAATAAACCACATGGTAGCAAAGTGTAAGTATTGACTGTTCAAGAATCAATCTGATGCAGCAGGTCGATTTCCACACACACACATTCCTATCTTGTCTCTGCACCTTTGGGACTGCTGCTGTCGTGTGTGTTTGTGTGTGTGGGGAAAAGTTGGGTAGATCACTTGATACACTTACTTAATACAACCCCACCAGATCCTCTCTCTCTCTCTCTCTCGCTCAACCCACCTCTCTCTCTCTTACTTATAATTCAGTGTAGGTAATGGGATTCTGATGGCCTGAGAGTAACGCTTTCTCATGAGAGAATGAGATTATGTTCAACGAAGTGTGTGTGTGTGTGTGTGTGTGTGTGTGTGTGTGTGTGTGTGCATGTCTATGAACTAATAAACCTTCACTTTAGCTTATGCAAAAAAGCCCTACCAGAATCTGAGGGCCTGGAGCCAAGAAAGTTCCTTAACTAGCATAGCAAGGCCACCCTCAACTCAAGAGTGACTTTAAGGCACAGAGAAGGCAGACATTTTGAGGGAGTGTGGATAAGGAAATTTGCAATTACAGAAGGCAGTACCATTTTGCCACAAGACATAGCTGGCAACTTTTGACTGGGTGTAATCTTAAAGAAAATTAAAAGGAATAGTTTGACATTTTGGGAGAAAAAAAGAAAAGATTGTTCTCTTTTAGTACAGCGTTACATGAGAAGATCCAAACCATAAATAAAGCCAAAGCATTCGGTTAGCTTAGCTGCATTTAGATGTAAGCTGACTCTGAGTGGAGGAAACAAAACACATCCCAGCACCTCTGAAGCCTAAACTCATTAAAATGTTATATTTTGTTTTTTCAATCACTACAAAAAAAAGAATGAAAAAAAGTGTAATGTGTCATTTCTGCAGGGAGCAGTGACTTACTGAGGTAATGTTGCTGCTTTCTGCTTGCCAGACAATTGGCACAATTGTTCAAGGACGTTATTGTTCTCAGCAAAATAAAATTGTGCAGTGAACCCTCATGATACAATTGTTTACTTTTCACATTAGAAAAAAAACCAAAACAGACAGGCTCCTTTCCACTGTTCCCAGTCTCTATGCTAAACTTAGGCTAACTGGCTGATGACTCCTGGCTCACAAACACCAAGAAGATGGAGCACATTACACCCATTCTTAAACCGCTGCCCTGACTTCCTGTGTCCCAAGGGACAGCTTTTAAAGTCCTATTACTTGTTTTTCAAATCACTATATGGTCTTAGGTCTAAATACCTTTCAGACCTACTCACACTGTACGGGGCACCCAGACCCCTCAGGGTGTCTGTGTGCCCCGTACAGTGTGACCCCTCAGGATGTCTGGGGCATATCCTCACCTCACTGTGCCCAGAATCAGAACGAAGCAGGCTGATGCAGCTTATTGCTTTTTATGCCCCCCCACCTCTGGAGCAAACTGCCCGAGCATCTGAGGTGTGATAAAACAGTCGGCTCGTTCAAATCAGGGCTCAAAACGTTTCCGTTCACTGTGGCATTTCACCATGTCTGTTAATAGAAACAATGAGCCTGCTGTGCTTTGTTTTATTTACTGATTTTTAGTAGAAACACATCTCTCTTTGAATCAATAGAATCATTAAACTGATTTTTTAACCTAATTTTTACATGTATTTAGGCACACATACTGTATGTTTGTGTCCATACATTCATACATTTTCTTGGTCACACGTCTAATTTGTGTAAATGGTGTATGCCCTGTGTATAAATTGTGTATTTCTTATATGCACACATATTAGTTTGTAAAATGTATGACATTTTTTTATGTCCGTGTAAAGCTCTTTGAATTGCTCGGTGTCTGAAAGGTGTGATATAAATAAACTTCACTTTCCTATTAAACGTTACAAATTTCCCATTGCACTCTTGGCAATAAATTCTTTGACTTTTAAACATATCATGAGTCCTGAGAGAGGGCTCTTATTAGAAGTAATTGCACTAAATTGGGGTTAAAAAAAAACATCGGCTACATTCCTAGAAATATCTCCTTTGTTTCTGAAAGCTTACCACAACTTTTAATACTCAGTCTTTTGATGAGACCATGTTCTCATCAATATATATATATTTGTTCAAAAAGGTTTTTAAATTCCTGGCCTGACTTTCCATTTTCCTCAATTTCTCTAAATTGAACCTTAGCTCGAACACAAGGCTGTGTGTCCTCCACATTATAATTTATCAGGGAGAGGGGAAAAAGGCATGATGACACACAATGACAATGTTTTCTCCTGCAGCACAAAGAGCCCCAAACAAACTTGTCACAGTGATTTCCTTTTCAATAAATGAGAGAGCAGGATGAGACACTTTTAAGTCTACCCACGGGAGATGGAGGAAAAGACAGGGTTGACTGATAAAACAATATGTGCATGCACACAGTGGCACTTACTCACAGCCACACACACACACAGTACGACACACCCTGGAGATATAACCTGACATTTCCCACTCTGTGTGCCGACACAGGGTGAGGAAGGACAGAATAACCCGGTGAGAGATTATGAATATGAAATGCTTTTCATCGAGTCCTGCTCGGCAGATTAATGAACATATTTTCACTCAAGTTACACTGTAGGATTTTGCCCTCTAACAAATCGCTTCATCAATAAAGTCATGCATTATGAATACAAATAGTGCAATCTAAACGGTGTCAGCGGCTAAATTAACAGGCATTTCACCCCGATTGGCGTTTTATCATGTGTCTCAAACACCAGGCGATGAGGAGAAAGTCAACAAACGACTTTGAAAAAGACAGTGAGCCAACTTGTTTGAACTCCAAAATAAGAGAGAGGGAAGGGGAGTGAGGAGGCGGGGGACGCGTAGAAGCTTAACCATGTTTTTCAGCTCAACGAGAGGAATCAGATCAAAGGTTTTTATCTTTAATTATTACCATTTTCTGCATCAGGGGACTGCTCATGACGCCGTATTAACAGTCAGGCTGGAATAGATTGTCCCTTAGTATTGAGCTCAGGGAACAAAGGCAGTTAGCGGTGATTGCCTGTTAAATGGAGTTGCCATTTAAAGCAGCCAAATACTTATGAAGCACCCGGACAGGACAATCCATAGTGGGCATTGATCGGCTTGCCTGGGCAGGCCGGCATGAGGCTCCTCTCTCTTTAATGCCATGGCCTAGTCGATACCCCCTCATACTAACTAGAATAAAGTGGGATTTCAGAAACTATTAAGTCCACCCTCCCCACTAATGTGGTTGGACTGTGATGAAATCCCCTTAAAAAGTAGAAGAAATTGCCTCGGGTTATGGGTCAGCACACACTCTCTTGCGTGGTGTGCTCTGCGTGAGTGTGTGTGTGTGTGTGTGTGGGGTTGTCAGGGAATATGACTGGATAGAGAGAGAACTTTGTAAAACTCAAAGGAAGGACGCAGAAAGTGTGAAAGAGAGCTATAAAGAGAAAGAGAACAAAGTGCATAAAGAAATCAGAGTCTCAAGACTTTGTGCTAAAAGTCTCACCACATTCCCTGTTTCCAGCTTGGTGTCTTCTAAAAGGTCACAAAGTAAAGGTCACAGCCATAAAATCGCAGACCGGCGCTCATAGATGAACCAGATAACTCTGTGCGCGCTCTCAGATAAACCTCCACTCATATCTGCTTCTCCTGTTTCTAATAAGCTACCTTTGAAATTACAGTGATTGTTTTAGCCCACATGTTCTTTGACCTGCTTCCTTCTGACTCCATCTGTTTTCTTCTTTACTCTCTCTCTCTGTCTTAACTCCCTCTTTAACCCTGCGATTTACCTTTTTCTTCTGGGCCAGCTCTTCATAAAACAATGAGAGCTATTCCATTAAGCGTAGAGGGTGAGAGGACACTCTCAATGGTGCTCCGGGGACCTGTACTGTCAGGCAATCTGTGCCGCTCCGACAGAGGTTCAGCTGCGGGGCTATCTATTAAGCATTCTTGCTGTGCGTGTGTGAGACAACTCACCCTGGACCTGCAAACCTTCTCCGTTTGTGACGATGTCTTAACCTTAGCCGTGATTCTGTTTATCTGTGTGTGATCTGACTAAACTCTTTGGCTTTTTTTTTTTTTTCTCGGCTAAGGCTGGAGAGGAATGGGTTTGATGAAAAGATACACAATCTGGAATTAATCAAACCCCAACATGTGCACATAATATAATTTTTTTAGCAGCTCTACCATTGGCCACAACTTCAACAGAAAAATACCCCGAACGTGAACACACACACACACACACTCAACAAATTTGTGTGTTTTGATGACACACTCCGGCCTTGCATCAGTGGCCTATGAAATTCACCAATTACCTCAAAAGTTCTTGACGGCTTTCATCGTTTTCCCCCTCATGTGAAGCAGCTGTGTTTATGCACATCATGACTAGAATACCTTAAGAGAATTATGGGGTTTGTGTTTCCATATTGAAAATATGGAGGAGACACACACACACACACACACGCGCATGCACATCCACACATTCACAGCACAGCCCCTTGACACTGTTGATACCACACTCGGCTCTATGGTACCCCACGACACATCTAGGCTCAATGACAGCTGGCCCCAGCGTAGCACACTGCTGTAAACAGGAGTGTGCTACACGTTAGGGAGATCTCATTGAGGCTGGCACCCTAATCTATGGACAGATAGCACCACAGAGTCTACAGAGCCAAGCCAGGCCAAAAAAAACCCACAAATGCAGCAGCTAGCTTCTACCACCACAGGCTAAGAAACAAAACACCAGAGTCAGATACGGTACCTGCTTTGTCAACCATGCTCCCATGGTCTGCAGTGGGAGAAAACGTGCAGAAAAGGTAAGAGATTGGGGAGAGTATTTTCTTTTTTAATATAAATGCAGGCAACATCATGCAGAGCTGAAATGAACAACAGGCAAGTCGGGGATAAGCTAACGCTGAGAGTTTCTGGTGCTAGTGAAGTGTGCTTTGCGCCAAGCTGAGGCCTGACAACTCTTTCATCTTGGGCTGATGCTGCAGTCAAAGCTGCCCTACTTTCTGATGGGGGGAAATGCAGAGATCATAAACTGTTATTCCCCTGTGCGAATATATGTGTTGGCTTGGTGTGTGTTTTAGTGTTTGGGTGTGTGTGTGTGTGTCTCAGATTGCAATCACAGTGCTTGTGGTGACAAGAAAATCAGAGTTTTTTTTGTATCTAAAGGCACTGTGGGTGAATCAAAGAAATCTAGCACTCATCCATCCAAAGTGACAGTGATGACAACATGAGGCAGTGACTGACTGACATAAAACACACACACTTGCACAACTGTGAGCACACACACACAGACGAACAATGTGAGAGAGATACTTTTGATCAGAGTGAGGTGAAGAGTTATATCTTTCATCTCATAACTTTGGTGTTTCAAAGGCCACAGAAACTAAGACTCCTGGGGTCTCAAGTTGAAAGGGAACCTAAAAACGGCTAAACCATGTTTTTTTTTTTAATCCTCCCACCCCCCTCTTCTAACAAGCTTGCTCCTCTCTTCTCTGTTTCGCCCACCTCCTACGTCACCCCCCCATCCCTCTTCAAATTACCCAAGGTCTCCCTTTTGCCTCCTTTTCTCATTTCCAAAGAAGCTACCTCTTTTGTCTGACTAGGTGCTCGTGTTTCTGTGCACACCCAAGTGTTGACAAGCAGACACAAACACACACACACGGGTAATACAAAGAGATGCTCACCGATGGTACAGTGCTCTCCGTTCCAGCCCTGGTGACACTGACACTTCCCGTCCTTGCAGGTTCCATGTTTGATGCAGAGCGGGTTGCACACACGCTGGTCACAGCCTGCACCGGTCCAGCCCTCCTCGCAGCGACAAGCTCCGCCCATACACACTCCATGAGTCCCACAGTCGACTGAGCACACCTCTGAAGGGAGCAGGAATTATTTTTGTTAAAAATATTCTCCAAAGATTCAAAAACTTTTTAGGTTTACATTTAAAAAAAAAAAAAAATCATTTTTGGACACATATCACTAACTGTGCAGGTTGAGGAATGTCTAAATCTTTGAGATGTCTGGGCTCTAGATAGGCCTATCAGTTGATTAAACAACAAGTTTAATATTATTTTTGAAAAATGACACATTATGTTACCAGGACATCTACACACAAACTTTAAACCCTCAGTTTCAACCTGCAAATGAAGATAAAAATCTATGTTAGACTATAACAAATAAAATAATTTAAACTTATTAAGATTCTCCAACAAACACCTTGAATCAGAATCAGTGACTACAGTTTTTGAAAACAAGGTTTGCTTCCCGAGCCTCTGTTACAATCGCTGTTTGGGAGACTCATGTGGTGTGATGTGACAATCCCGCTCATGTATTCAGGAAACCCAGCTGTGCCAGAATGAAGCATATACAGATGTTTAGAAGCACACTTGCTGAGGGATCCTGCAGCGTAGAACAATGTTGTCTTTATTAAAGTTAAGTACCGCTTCTCTTACTAATACTGGAGCTCTGTTTGATGTGCGGAGATGGGAAGCGTTGCAGGGCTGGCATGGTGAAGGCGGCTGTCTCTCTCAATGTGGTAGTTTTATGAATATGGTTGAAGTTTTTCATCATCAAAGACGTCTGATCATGAGCTCTATATTCCCAGAGATAACTTTGTTTTAGTCTAAATCCTTCCAGGAGAAGGAACATCATTCCCAGCAGGGATTTATGTTCCTAATGTACAGACGGTGTCTTCCACTTTCTCCTCCTGCCGTCTTACACAGACAGTATTCACTCTTAGGTTAACTACATGTGACACCATCTACAACACAAACACATCTGCAATGTTCATGTTGTCATTAACGGCTTCACTATACAGAAATCTCCTCACGGACTCACATGAGAATCACTTCATACAATTCTGTTAATAACCTGGAGAAATGCTAACATTTCACATTTCTGACAGGCTTACAGACAACAGAATGTCTTTGTCATTATGTTACAGTATTCCTATAGTTCCTTAAAGATCAACATCAGGGATGGATATTTTACTCTGTCCTTGTTGTCTGGAACAAATGACCTGAGATCTGTCACAGCTGTGTTGCAGAAAATAAAAAAAAGAAACATTTTTCCTTTTGTCCTCGTCTTATGTTTGGTTGCCCGTGTAAGTGTGTATGTTTTTAACCGTGGGCGAGTTGCGGGGGTATGTTCACCACTGTTTGTTGGTGTTGTATGTGGGTGGTTATTCTTCCTGTTTCTTTGTTTCCTTTGTTGTCTTTATTGTTTTTTTGTATTGCATTTATTATTTATTATATTATTTTATGGATGTTACATGTTGCTACTGTTTTGAACAAGCTATTGTAATGAAATGTTTTTTACACAGAAGAAGGGACTTGCCTTGCCCATTTTGGATCTTAACCACTACCCTGTTAATCGTAAAAAAGCCCATACTGTCGGCGACAGTCAACGGGGAGGGATGATTTTATATAGCACTGACAGTAACAAGCTGCCACAGTTTGTTGCTGTTAGTTCCAATTTGGCTCAGCCGGTGTAACAGTTGCTGTATCCTCGTTTGCAGCTTGTTTAAGTGTTTTTTTTTTTTTTGGTCTTGTTAGTTTCATACAAATACAGTTTAAAACTAAAGTAGTATGAAATAAAAATGCTACGCTAATTAGCTATGAATCCTCCGGGGCTGCAACATATGATGGAGAGAGGAGGTCGGTTTTAATTATTATGACACTCAAAATCTCAATCTTTACTCCATCTCTATCCCTGCACTTGCACTCACCCATCGAGCAGTCGGGTCCCATCCAGTTGGGGTCACAGCTGCACAGTCCCGTGTCTGGTATGAAGGCCCCGTGGCCGTGGCACTGGTCTGGGCACTGGGCCCTGGGCAGCTCGCAGTGCAGCCCTCCCCAGCCTGGCTTACAGTGGCACTCCCCATTCACACAGATGCCATTGTTGGAACACGTAGGATCCAGGCAATCCACTGCATTTAGCCAGAGACGCACCAACGTGGGAAAAGAACACAGAGAAAACAAAATGAACATGAAACAACACGAGCACAGGAAATGTCACATTGGAGCTGATGCTTGAAACAAAATGAAATATGATGGGTTTTTAACAAGAAAGGCATGTGGCAAAGGACATATTTTCATCCTTTGTGTGCAAAGAAAGATAATGAAATAAAAGAAAATATTACCAGGCATATTACTAAGGCAATTAAAGCACACAATAATGAATAGCTGAGTCGATAATTGGGGCAGAGCAGCAAAATGCATTCCACTCTGAAAGAGCAGTGAGCTGTGCTGACACATTATTAGATGTGAGTGCTTGTATATGCATTAGTGTGCATGCACGTATGTGCTAATACATGAGGGAGAATCTGACACTGTCAGTCTGCCAGGTTGACAGGCAGCTCCGAGTCCAAGCAGTGAGTGAAAACCAATTTGACAAATTACCTCCTCCCGGCAAAGCGCCCACCCACCCCCTTCCTCTGGCGTCCTCTCATTGCTTTGTCCCGGTTGCTCCCACTTTCTTTCCCCCTCTCTCTCTTTCCCCCTGTCCTCTTTGTCTGACACCTCTCCCTCCTCCACCTCCTCCACCTCCCGCAGGCATGATTGACCCCGCAAGCTCCCCTTTCCACACACACACACACACACATTCATAATACCACGCTCTCGCACAAAACATCGTCCCCTCCATTTCTGTTTGCCTGGCAGAAACGACGGATCACAGCTATCGATTTTCATGTCGCCGGCACTCCAGGTAAATTGTTTGAGGGACTCGGCTGTGATGAATATCAGATTTGAGACCAGAGTAGAGGGTGGAAAAAAAATTGGATGCGAGGGAGATGGAGAGAAAAAAAAAATGAAGAGCAGGAAAAACTGCTGACCTTGTTCTCCGGCCCTGGACCTTGACTTCTTCTGTCTCTCATTTTTCTTCCTCTCTTCCCTTTGTCTTTCTCTACCTCTCTTCATCTTCACCCACTTGGCACACTGTGCTCTCTGTTCTAACTTCTTTTTTAAGTTTCCTCTTTTTTTTTTTTTACAAATTTACCTCTGATTGCTGTCCTGACTTCCAGTCCATCTCTAATTCCTCGTTTTTGCTCTCTTTTTTTTATTATAGCTTTGTGATAACAGAAAATGTAGGGGCCTGATCCTTCTTAACAAGGATCAATAGAAGCAATTTCATACCTTAATAAAATGTCTGATGTGTTTGGCTGCAGTGCCATACTTCATCTGTGTATATGGAGGGAAGGGACACTCAGTCATAGGAAGATTATGCCATGATGAGCTGTCTAGAGCGAGTTATGGGGAGTGTGTGTACCTTTTCAGTGGATGTGTCAAAATCTGTTTGTTGTGGTGCAAACATTCATGTGCTTTTTAAAAACAATCACTCTGAACTTGTCAAAAACCCACAAACATAGGCCGTTCACAAATAAAACCATCACAAATCCTCTATTGCCGCCATCCCATGACCCCGCCCCCTCTCACCCTCTGCACAGCTTGCTCCTTTGTAGCCGATGGAGCACACGCAGTTGCCATCGGTGCAGGCGCCGTGGCCGCTGCAAAGAGGGTCGATGCACTGCGTGACGGGGACATCACACTCAGGGCCCTTCCATCCGCTGTAGCATACACATGAGCCCTTGTCGTATTGGCCGTTGCCACTGCAGAGCACGGGGCACGCCGCTGGAGGACAGGGAGGAGAAGAGGAGGGAGATTAAGCCAAGTGTGTGACAAAAGGAAAAACAATTAGCAGCCTTTTTCTAGAGATTCTCAAAAGCAGTGAAGAGCCACGCCGCCCACCCACACACACACCCACACACACACCCCTAACCCCACCCGCAATGAGGGTGAATAGAGTGGTTAAGGGGCTGGCGAGTGGCAATGACATGAAGAGTAATTACAGGCAGAGGTAACTAAACTATTCATCAAAGCTGTCTATCCCAGGTGAGCAGCAAGCCAGGGAGACGTTAGCCGGGGGAGCTGCCATTCATCATCAGTCATCTTGTCTCAGCTCCACCTAAGGCCACGCGCCATCTTACCGCTCCTAATCCTCTCTACTCGCCGCACAGAGCTGAAATAATGCCCGCTTGTCTAATTAGACGCCAAGAATGACTGAGTTTTTTATTTATTTTTTTACGATGGGAGAAACACATTTGCAAAAAAACAGCAAATACCTTTGGCGCAGTCCATGCCGTGGAATCCCGGGAAGCAGTGACACACACCAGAATTACACTCTCCGTTACCATGGCAATTGCGCGGGCACTCTTGCACTGAATCTGTGAGAGGAGACAAAGTGAGACAGAGGAAAGGGGAAAGAGGGGAGGGGTGAGAGAGTTTTTGATGGCAGGCATAGAAAGTGTTTGATTAAAAAATTGGCACGGTTCACTCTTTAAGATGCTGCAGATCGAGTCAAGGTGCTTTGAGTCCACTGTCACGCAGACATCAACAGGAAACTGCCATCCTTCAAGATACCATGCATTCCTTTAAAGTGAATTTTCATGGTGAAATGCATTTTGCATCAGCCTTTCTTTGAGATGCTATCCATAACCCATCTGTAATATCTCTCCACAGTGTATTCCTGAACTCTTTGCTCCTGCTCTTTCACCCCTTCTCCTCTATTTCCTGGCACTCCTTTTGTTTGTTTCTGCCTCACTCGCGCCACTTCAAGGTCATTAATACTTTATCCAGGTGTGTTTTTTGGGTGCAGCTAGGCAGATTTTTTAGCTGAACTTTACAAGAGTGTTTCTGGCCTGGTGCATACGTGCTTCATCCACCCTCTCCTGCCTCTTAACCCACTTATCAGAGTGGAAGAGTTTGGTAGAAGGAAACAGGGTCAATGCGCAACATAAGGAGGCATTTTGGACTTTTAATTCGCCCATTCCGCCTTCCATCACATTCATTCCAGCTTCTACTCGTCTTACACAAAGCGTTACTCATCCCATCCAAACTGCCCTTCCTCTCACACTTCCTCAATCCTTTTCTGTGCTGGGTAATTTCCACCAGAAATCTCAGCCCTCCCCTTGTCTCCCTCTTACCCTAATGCCACCCTGTCTTTCAGTTCCCTCTTCAGCTCCTCCTCCTCCTGTCCTTCACTCCACTTCACTCCATTCTGGCTTTGCCCCCGCCATTATGTCTTTCCTCCGGCTCCCCCTCTCACTACTCACTCTAATTCTGCCCTTGCTGCCTCTCCTTCTCTCCTACTGCAGATAGCTCCAGCGCCAGATATTGACAGTGAAGGATTCTTTCCCTCGGCTTGACTCTTTCTATCCATCCTCCTTGTTCTCACACTCATGCTTCCAAAACAATTGGAATTATTTTGGGCGCTGTTTCAGGTCCAAATAAAAAAAACAACAACCACATTACATGGTTGTGTTGGTATTTCTTTGGATTCCTTTTTGTTCTGGTTTCAGATATGATACGAGACAATTTTGTTTTTTCTTGTTGTTTGTTATTTTCTTCTTCTCACATGAACAAACACCAGGGAAGTGATTCTACACTCTGACAAAACAAGTTGTTTTTTTGGGTTTTGAATAGATTCTATCAATTTATTCGTCTATGTCCTGGCAAAAACAAATCTCACTAAGCGGTCCAGCCTGCTTGACAATTTTTGCAATAGTTGTGTGTTGCTATTGGCAACATTGTGCACATTCCACTGTAGTGTGTTTTTGCACCCTGTGGATGTGTAAAAAAAACTTCAACGAAATGGGACGAATATGCCAACATGTCCCTCTTAAAGGGAAACTCAACTGACTTTGAAAATTGTATTAAGCTGTTTGTGACTTAGGTGATGTCACACGAGTCAGTCTCAAGCAGAAACCTCCAGTGTTGAGATACTGAAGACAATGTGCAAGTCTCCTTTGGAGCCAATATTTAAATGTCCTTAATAACAGCAGAAATAAAGAGGTTTACAGCCTGCTTCATATACAGTTTTATCAAGCTAATTAATTTGTTGGTAAAAACTGTAAGGGGGTTGAATTATTTTAGAACTCATCATTTTACTGTTAAGACTTCACATAAGGGGCGCGGCTGATTTGACTCACAGTCAGACACGTTGTAGCTGTTTACCAGGAGGCTGGACTTCACTTTACCTAAATCCTATAACTGACCAGATGGTTAACTTTGCTTGTGTTTTTTTTTTTTTTTTTAGATACTAGCTAAATGCATATTCTGTTGCTTCTCGATGAGCTGGGAGTTGGTGAGAGTCAACATTTCCAATATAGTAACCATCGTTGTAAGGCTTCATAATGTATCTCCAGAAACTAATGCTTAACACCACTGAGACTATGTCCATGTTTTATACAGTCTATACGGCCAGTTTCTATTGAGGTTGAAAACTTCAAGTTTAAAATGAAAAAAATATGACTTTTGAGAAAGAACTGAACCGAGCAGACCTCTGGACTCTGCTTGAGGCTTGTAGCTCAAGGCTATATTAGTTGTTGCTAGCATAAAATGGCAACATAAGAGACCCACTTGGTTTTGAAAAGGAAGAGGCATCAGTGGAGAAGGAAGGAAATATTTCTGCTACTACAACATCATTTTTATATTTTTAAAACCTGTCCATCAAGAGACTGACAGTGTTATACTGTAGGAGTGCTATGCTAAATCATTGGAGTACTCATTAAGTCAGCATCAATTGTAGCGAATAACCACTTCTCCCTACTTATTCTGTTTTTCTGAATGATAGTGCTAAAGCTCCTCTTACCTACCAGCCTTACTTCCCCCCCTTCAAATGTTTCAACTCCCTGTACCCACAAGCACAAATGCTGCCTCAGTCTCACCCATGACGTTTGTGCTGAAGGAAACGGTTTCTCTCTCCCGACCATCGTTGTAGAAGGCCAGGTGCCAGGCACCAGCGTCCAGGTACTGGACAAACACCGCCTCATTGAGGACCACAGTTTGGATGCTCCTCCTCTCCGCGGAGACTCCACCACACTCCATTTCTCCTTCCCGTCCAGGCGCTCCATATAGTCATACTGCAGGAGAAAGAAACAAAGAAAGAAAGAGAGAGAGAGAGGTTGAGGTTGAATGAAAGTGTGAATGCAAGTATAAAATCTATGATTCAACTATGAAGTGCAGCGCTGGCACTTTTTAGACTTTGAAAAATGACCCGTAGTTGTATATATAGGGAGATTAAAAAGTAAGGGAGTACGTGTGGCTGGAAATCTCCAGAGAAGCATGAAGAATGTAACAGAGAGATCCTGGAGGGCTGTCAGTCTTTCTGCGTTTCTGGAAACATTGCAAAAGTGCTTTTTATTGCACTGCGGGAGCCACAACTTTCATGGTCTTTAGCAGCTTAAGTCAGGTCAGCCAGTGAAACGGTGGCAATAATTCCATTCTAAAAATCAAATCTGCTGTTAATTGAATGGTTTCTAATTAATAAGCGGCAGTAAAACTTACATTACTGTGAAATTTAATTAAGGGTAAATCCTAGACTGAATGAGTTATTTTTTTTTTTCAAACAACTGTTATAATGAATCACAAATGAATTTTAAGATGTCCCTTGACACAGGCCAGAATTGTATAATTTATCTTCCCTTTTTGGCTGATCAATATGAAGATAAAGGGTTCCTAATGACAAAGGGATAATTCTGAGATTAATCCATTAGCCTAAAGGTTTAGAAGATGAAGGATCTACATTTGATCTTCCTTGGAGATGTTACCTGTGCGTGTGAAGGAGGCAGACCCTTACGGATGTACACTCCGAACAGGGCGTCTTTGCCGAGGGAGATGTTGAACTTGAGGAACTGGGGCAGGCTGAGGTGGAGCAGGGACCTCCAGAACACTCCTGGAGGGACTTCCTGGGTCACTCGCCTCCCGACTTCGATGTTTCCTGCGTCTATACTGCTGTTCCTGCCTGCCCACGGACCTGGAGCGAGGGGAAAAGAAACTGCATAATCTGTGATTATATGCATTGATTGTCAGAGTCAATAGTTCATCATCACAGTTTACTAGAAATAATCTGCTGTAAAAATTCATGGCCATTGAATAGTAGAGGACAAGCCCCATTAGCTCTGCAAACTGTGCCTGTACAGTTGATGCAACAGTGATTGTTGTTACATGCGACAGTGGGATGCAAAATGAAGCTGCAAGACTGTGGACTTTGTTGTCTGGACTAAAACGAGAGTGGGATCATAGCACTGCAGGGCACAGCTGTCCAAGCAGACTCGCAGACAGGCACGCACACAGAAGCACACAGCATCCTGCAATCAGGTCAGTCATCTAACAGAGCAGCGCGTCGGGGCCCCAGACAGAAAAAAGACGGGAGTGTTGGCTATGTGTGTGTGTATGTGTTTGTGTACGTTTGTGTGCAGAACAGAGAAAAAGTAAAAGAAACAACGAGAAGAACAACAGCAGAGCATCTGGCCTAGACGGCTGGGGAACACAACACAACAGTCCTCTCATTAATACAGAATACAGACACAGAGCAGCAGCCCACACGTACCTATAGTACATGCTGTGTGTGTTACAGAGCGAGATTGAGCGAGAGAGAGAGAAGAATAGATGGAGAACCGCATGGGGGCCTTAAAAGAAACAAGGGAGGGGGGGCTATGCAGTCAGTGTTTTACTTCGCTGCTGACTGAGACGATAAAGCCAGCCCGACACAACTCAGTGGAGTGGTTAAACAGCCCATACTGATAGCACAGCCAGTACTGTGGCATGAATTATGAAAATATTATAGTTGGTTTGAGCCTGTTTGGGTGTAAAATAAATCTACTGGACTGTTTTAATACATGACGCAGAGCAGAGGCAGCCTTTAAAAGCCTTGAAGGACAAGCACGGTGTAACTGAATGTTTAATTTTTTTGGTTACTAAACAAATCAAACACTGTTGTTTGGTCTGTTTTTTTTTCAGTATTCATTCTGAATTTACTTTCCTGACTGTGGCACTCAGCCAAAAGTCAATTTGTTCCTTCTGACGACATAAATCTTCAAAAATAGGTCAGACTATAAAGCTTTAGGTTAGGAGAATAGCAAGTCGTCGGCTGGGGGACTATTTTTAGTTGCAGATTAATACACACTTTGCATGCTGGAGTATTTAGACTGCCAGGGTGGTTTTGAATCAAAGTAAACCAAAAGCTTATTTTCCCTCGCTTTGATTTCATTCATTTCTGTTCATTTTTAACATTTTCTTTTTGACATCAATAGAGGGAAATCATTAGTTTGTAGGATACGTCATTGTTTGTTTTGGTCTTCTTCTGGCATTTTGTGACACTAAGCAATTAAACATTTTCGCTTCAAATCACATTCATTGGAGAGTAGGTTGCAACGTCTCCCAGACCTGAGTTTTGCCTAGTAACTCGACATGCATAGTGAGTTTTTTTTTTCTTCTTTCCACAAGGGTTATGTGTGCTGTAGTTCATACCTCTGCCTCCAGAGGGCAGCGTGGCCACATCACTGTTGACAGGCAGGCCAGCTCCCAGTCCGTTGTTCAACACCGGGCCGTCGGACGGCTTCAGCTGCCAGTTCAAACCCAGCAAGTTGATTGCTGCACACAAAGGAGAGATGGAAGAGAGAGAGAGAGAGGGGAAGAAAAAGAAGCGAGTGTGAGGACATACAGTATGACTTGTATTGGGAATTGTCTCGGAGCCTAGTGTAAAAAAAGCAACACTTGAAAGCTCATCAAGCCAAAGAAATCCAAGAGGCCAACCCCCTGTGTCTGATCTGTCATTTATCCAGAAATCAACGAGGCTTTTATGGAGCGCTGCTTTTAAACGTGTGTCTGCATATCAATCAAAGAATGCTGTTAACAAAGTGGCAGGTAACCTACAGCACAAAAAAAAAAAACTAAGGCGATACGTACAAAACAGATAATTAAAAACAATGCAGATAATTCCTTTTGTTCCCTTCCTTTACCTCATTCTCTCACAATCTTCTTTTAACCTGACAGCGTCTCCTGCTTTTACTTTGGAGCCTTTACACCATATCCTTGAGAGCAAGTGACAGATCTGTCTCGGAAGAGTTCGCTCCATGACTCTTCCTTTCCCCTTCTCCTCTTCTTTTGTCCTCTGTTGTGTTATTGTCTGCTTGAGGTATAAGTTTGCTCAAGTGTGCTCGCTCATCACTTTGTCAGCTTTTCTTTTTTTTTTTCACTCCTCCTGTGTTTTATCCCTCCTTAGCCTGATGCTGCCAAGATTCCCCTCCTCCCAAAATCAGGAGCGGAAACAACAAGAACAGCCAGAAAACCGTTGATTTCCCTCACTGTATCCAAAGTAGAAGTTATGTGATTTTCCTTTCTTTAGGGTGACACGTTTGCTTTTGAGTGTTGTAAATGATCTGCAACGTTTTTTGAACAGTCTTCAGAGCAGAGCATCGTTTTCTCATGTTTGAATATTTAACACAATGTTACACAAAAGGAACAATGCACCTGCAGTGTTGTCACCATACATGAATAAGCAGATGTGAGCTTTTCAGGGTTGCACATGGGATGGATGTGTGATTGTGTTCAATGCATTATGTAGGTGTTATTCCATGACTTGCAGCATTGGCCTTATCCCCACCACATGAGCCTTCTAACACCTTGCATCTGAAGCCTGGGAATCAATTTCCCTCTTGTCAAATTCTATCTCCACCCGCCTAAGGTTGGCACACACAGGGATGAGTGTAAAAACTTGCAAGAAAGAGGGGGATGCATCTTTCGATATTGCTGCAGGGGCTAACTCATTCTCAATCCCAATGTCCCATCTCTCTCTCTCCCCCCCCTCTCTCTTTTGTTTCTTCCTTTTTATGTTTTTTTTTCTATTTCCCTCTATCTCCTCTCCCTCACTCCTGGTCAAAGGAAAGCGCTGACACCTCGGCTGCTGCACGGCCTCCACTGTCAGCTCTTTTTTTTATTTTTTTCGTAGGAGGTGGGGGTAGATTGGTACAGAGAACAAGAGCAAAGAGAGGGAGAGGATGCAGGGAAAACTACAGTGTCCTTCCTCCCCCCTCTGTCTTTTTCTCAAACATCCACCTCTTGCCCTCTCCTCTCTCATGGCGCTGACCTTCATCCCTCTCGCCTCTTTGCCTTTTAATTCTCCCTCTTTTCTCCCGTCTTTTCTTCTTATCTCTTGCCTGTCCTTTTTCTTGCAGATAACACAGACATGCATCCGCGCACACACGTAGACGCACGCACGCGCACAAAGATGGTATCACATGGAGCAGTCGATGGAAAGATTACCTATTGAACAACGAGAGACGGAAGGCAATAGTGGAGTCTATTGTGACGCTGCTCTCAATCTAGGTCATTCCCAAGAAAACATCAGTCGGCCCTAGAGTTGGCTCATTGTGTTTGTCTCTTCATATTGTGTGTGCATGTTTGAGGGTCGGTGCACATGTGTGGTTTTTCCAAATGACTTTCCTCCCCCCCCCCCCTTTGATTTTTTGTCCCCTGGGTGGTTGTGGAGAGCTGACCGATAGATGGCACTCTTACTCTGTGATGTCAGGTTCACAAAAGCTTTGTCAACAGGTTTCTTTGCGGCAACACAAACGAGGCAGGAGAGACGCAGAGGTAGAAAGAAAAGACAGAGAACACCAAACAGATACTTGAGATCAATCTTTTTCACACTGCAACACTTCTCACTTTGTTAGGGTGTAATTCTAGCCTAAGTAAAAACCGCTGAAATTGAAGTATTTGGCTTTCGTGTTGCCTTGATTTAAAGCGTTTTCTTTTCCGATCATAATTGCCGTAATTACTGTTTTCAAGCTGCATTGGAAGGCTTTATTAAATGCCATGCCAATAAAGCCTGTCTGAAATGAATTCGACTGACAGACAACAACAAAGAAAGTCTGACTTGTGCTGTACTCTCTCTCTCTCTTTTTTTATTATCTCTGTCTCCTCTCTCATGTTCATTTTTACAGATACACACACAACACACAGACTCACACACGTGGAAAGATCAGAGAGAAGCAGGTTTAACAAGCAAAACCAGTTGGATTAAAAATAGATCAGCTGCTTCATGAGTTTTTTTTTTATGTAATCTTGATGCATAATTCAGAAAGGCAAAGTGCTTGCCAGTATCGTCTGCAAAAAAGAGAGCATCTGAAACATCAGCAGCACACGTGATCCTGGGACGAAAAAAAGAAAAGGAAGGAGGGATTGACGGACAGGGTGACAAGAGAAATGAAAAGGAGGAGGTGGTGGCCGGCCTCAGAGAAAGGGGGCAACGGTCAGGAGCTCTTGGAGAGATCGCGCTGAACCTTTGGCAGAGAAAGAGAGGAGGGAACAGAGAGAATACTGGAGGACAGCGAGAACTGAGAGAATATTAAAGAACATATAAAATCCCCCGAGGATGAAAAAAAAAAAAAAGGCTACAGATGATGTTGCAGAGAGGAGAGGAAGAGACGAATGAGGGCCTCTGTGGAAGAAACGAAGGAAGGCAGAAGAAGATGGCGAGTGGAGAGAAAAGATTTAAAGGATGAGTGGCCCTGTATTCATTGACTGGTTGGGTGAGAAAAGATAGTCGTGATTCATCCTCTGACAGTAAGTGGCTCACAACACGGGCAATCAGACAGAAATACAATGCCGCTGTGTAGGGTGCTACATGTGTTCGCCGAAATATTTATACGTCTCGGAGTTAAAGGGTGTAAATGGATTTCTGCATGAGAGGAAAAGAGAGAGTGGCAGAGATGGAGAAAGGTGACTTTGTGCACTGAGTGTCCCCGGACTGGAAAATATTGTATCATCATCATCCTGTTCTCTGGAACAAACTCCCAACTGTTCAAACCCGCTCTCTCTCTCTTTCCTCCGCCGTGTCTCTCGCCCATTTCCGTCTCACCTCAACCATATTAATGCCTATTTAAATGTGCAGCATCTCTAATTGAACTAATTGCACCTCTCCTAATTGCAAGAAAGGTACCCATTGGTCTCCTGCACATTTCTGTGTGTAAAGTCCTCCAATATAACTAAAATGACACAAAGAGCACATGTTGCACATAAACACTAACACACACTGGCAGCGTACTTTTCTCTGCCGTCTCCCCTGGCCTTCCTGATAAATGCATATTAACTGTTCTAATTCACCACTAAATTAACAACTCTGACCTCAATTAGGGCGGTAATTGTAGCTAGCCCCACATCCAGCGCCCGGCTGCTAATTGGTTTAGGAATCCTTTTTTTCTTCCTCTGTCTTCTACCTTCCGCCCCCTTTTTGCATCTCCAAGGCCCTCATTTAGCGAGCCAGTAGACATTTTATTGTCCTGAACCAAAACACATGCACAAAAAGCAGCCACCTGAGAAAACACACCTTCACTGTTTATTTCAGTATCACTCACACCTGTTCCTCTATCTCTGCAGCACAGGCATGCAGCGCTAATATCGGAGGGACTGAGCGGGGAAAAAAAAGCACTGTGCCGCCTTAGATTCTCAATATTCCAGCCATTTGGGATATTTCTTAGAGTTTACAGCACAATATCCACTTATGTAGTCTATAAATAAAGCAGCCACTCTCTCTTAGCTAAGTTCTGAAGGCGCTGCTCGCTGAGATCATTTAGAGTCTCAGACAGAGCGACGGGGGCGGCGGTTGGCTGTTGCCCTTGGGGGTCATATACTCTGAGCGAGACAATTTCTCTGCAACTAGGTGTGTGAGTGTGTCTGTGTATGCATGCTAAAAAATTGCATGGTATTAACAACAAAGTGCACGCCTGCCCACACACGCACACACACACACACACACACACACACACACACACACACACACACACACACACACACACACACACACACACACACACACACTGCAACCCCCGACGGGACCTCCTCACCCAGCTGATGCAACTGAACTGTAATTGACTGCAACACAAAAGGTTATGCGAGTTTGCTAGCAGCTCCCACCTGCAAAGACAGTGTGTGTCTGGCAGGGAGGGAAACAGCCGCTCACTCAATCACACGGCAGAAACAGCTTCCTTATTGGCACTGAAATATTGAGACGGCCTGACGCAGACGCAGCCATGCGCGCACGTGTGTGTGTGTGTGTGTGTGTGTGTGTGTGTGTGTGCATGCATGTGTGTGATGGGGCTAAATGAAAAGAGATGTGAATCTGAGTGATGTCCTCCTTTCTGAATCCTCATTTCCTCTTCAGATATCTCTACCTGACCCCCCCCCCCCCCCCCACCTCCAAACACACACACCCACCTCGACTTCTTCCTCCCCTCCACATCAACCCACTCGTCTCATCCCTCCCTAACTCGGTCCTTTCCCTCTCATCGATCTGTATTAGAAACAGGATATGAGGAACTATGCTATCTTATCACAGATCAGAGAGAGAGAGAGAGAGAGAGAGAGAGAGAGAGAATGAGTGAGGAAGAAAGATGAAGGGACGAGTACGTTCTTGGAGGCCAGGGGAGGCAGACACAGAAAAAAAGAGAAACAGAAGAGAGGGGAAGAGAGGACAGTGATTTCTTTCTCTTTGCCTTCATCTATCTCCTTTTTTCGAACTCAGGACTAGCGAAACACCACAGGCCTAATTGGACTAACGATTGGGCCTGATAAGACCTCCTCTAATGAATAAA